ACTAAGAGTGATTTGCCTCTTGTTTATAAAAACATGGTTATATTCTGCATGCTGTTTTCCAATTTTTTTTTCCATGTAATTCAAGGAACATTCTTGTTTGAAAGTCTATATAACACAGATGAACTATTATGATTTACTTAACTGGGCTCCTGTTGATGAATATTTGGGTTAATACCAGTTTTTACCCACTACAAATAACATGAAAATAAACATCCTCTGTATGCTGTTGTACATACTTATGAACAGAGTAGGGTAGCTTCCTAGATCTGGTATTGTTGGGTCAAAGGCATGAACATTCTTTTTTTTTTTCTTCCTTTTTTTTTTTTTTACTGACCGGTAACAGGATCGCAACCCTCGGTGTTGCGCCCGCACCGCACTCAGCCAGTGAGCGGGAACCAGTCTCCACATGGGATCCAAACCCTCGGCGGGAGCGCCACTGCGCTCCCAAGCGGCGCACTCTCCAGTGCGCCACCAGGCCGGCCCAAAGGCATGAACATTCTAAATTTTAACTGATAATGCCAAATTGCCTCACCAAATTGACTCCCCAAATTGACTCTGACTAGGCATTCCATTTTAAGATCTCTTTTTTCCCCAAACTGTTTAAGTATGGATATCACCTAAACTTTATCTCATACTTAAAAATATATACACATATAGATAGATTGTTATTGTTTGCTTTCTTTTATTAGTGAGGCTGGGCAACTTCTCATATGGTTACCAAACATTTTATCGGGGCGGGGGGAGGGGGGGAGGAGTCCTTTGCTGATTTTGCTTAACATTCTTCACCATTTCACCAAATACTAAAAACTCTGCCTACTGGCAATGTTAGCCATTTATCTGTTAAGTATGCAAAAATTTTTCCTGTTAGCTGTTTGTGTTTTAATTCAACTTACAGCATTTTTCACCATGTAGTATTTTTGATTTTTATGTAGTAAAAATTTTCAATTTATTTTATTTCTGGGTTTTGTGTCCCAGTTAATATGGTCATAGTCCCATGTTTTTCACATTTTTTAATATTTCATGTGGTCCCATGTTTAATATTTCAAAGATTTGTTTTCACAACTGAATCTCTAATCCTCCTGGAACTTGCTTTGGTCTAAGGAGTAGAGTAGTATTAAAGACTTGCTTTCCCCCCAGAGAGCTATAACCAATGACCCGAATGCCACCTACTGTCCACTGATTTGAAATGTCATCTTTGTCATCTATGCGACCCTCCTGTATTTCTGTCTGCTAGAGATGTTTTTCCACTGTTCTGCCCATGTTACTTCTATACCTTTCAAATCTCAAGGTGGTATTCATATAGTCCCATGTTTTTCACATTTTTTAATATTTCATGTGGTCCCATGTTTAATATTTCAAAGATTTGTTTTCACAACTGAATCTCTAATCCTCCTGGAACTTGCTTTGGTCTAAGGAGTAGAGTAGTATTAAAGACTTGCTTTCCCCCCAGAGAGCTATAACCAATGACCCGAATGCCACCTACTGTCCACTGATTTGAAATGTCATCTTTGTCATCTATGCGACCCTCCTGTATTTCTGTCTGCTAGAGATGTTTTTCCACTGTTCTGCCCATGTTACTTCTATACCTGCACCACATGGTTTTAATCATTACAACTGATGAGGGTTAGGGGCTCTGAAACCAGCACATCCTCAGTAGAAAGTTTGGACATAACTTTGCCCTGGCTCACAGCTGAGCAACACTGCATCCCTGAACCCCATGGCGGGGTGGTGAGGGACTCACTAAATACTTAACTATTAACATCCTACTAGTACCCTACTGTTAGGCAGGCTACTTAACTGTTTGGATAGGTATGTCATACATTATGACATACCTAACCAATAATTTTCTAAAATATAAAAAAAATAATCCCTAAGTGAACCTGTGCAGTTTAAACCCATGTTGTTCAAGGGTTTGCACTGTAGTTCACTTCTGTGTAAGAAAAGGGAGAAAATACATCCATATCTGCAAAAAAGAAAAAAAGATAAACAATAAATAAAAGTGGTAGGGGACAGGTCTGTGAGTGATATCTTTATGTGCACCTTTTTGATATTGTTTTGAATTATGAACTATGTACACGTATTAAATTCTAAAAAATAAAAAATAATCGTACCTTTAATAAAGTTTAGAAATCGGCAGTGCCAGTCCTTCTTATTATTATTCTTTTTCAGAGTTTTTCTGGCTAAACTGTTATTTTTAAATATCAAAATACTGTAGTTCAGACACACTGATTTCAGATGGCAGTCGGCAGCTTTACTCACCCTCCCTGAATTCTATTGCCCTTCTTTCTCTGTGTCATCTAACCTCATCCCCAACCATCCTCACTTCAAAAGTAATTTGTTTACTATTTAGTACCTGCATTATACTGTCCTCTGAAATTCTAACCTACAATTTTTATATAACTCCCCTTAATCCCCTAACAAACCTTAAAATGTGCTTGGTTACTCATAAAAATCACCACAAAGATTTCTTCTTGAAACTGGAAATGACTTGCAATCCAATATAGGTCTTGAGACAAACTCACCTATGGTCACAATATTTTATATTTTAATATTCTGGCCCTTGGACCATTGACCACAAGCCTCAAATGATTAAGAATATAACCAATTTAAACTCAACCTTTCCACTTCTTATTGCCAAATATAATTTCTTGAAGAAAGTATATGAATTAAAACTGTAAACTCCCTGTTCCCCACTGTGGTCATTAATGTGGGTTTTGTTTTCTCAAGTCCTTTCCTAGGTGTTTCTTATTGGAAACAGTAATTTCAGCTAGAAGAGGGAGTTAACTTCAAACTCTGGATCATAATTTCTCTGTTTATAGAAGACAAAAGGATAGCATTTTTTTTAGGTCTTTGTCTAAAACTTCATATCCAAGACAATGTCCAATTTTCTACATTAACTAAGATATAACCAAGAAAATTTCTTTTTCTGCTTAATTTGAGAGGTTTTTGGTTTACATCTAGTGCTGTGCCACCAGCCATATTTAGCTATTTAAACTTATTTTGGTTAAAATAAAATATAAAGTCAGTTCCTTAGTTACATTTCAAATTCTCAACATTCCAATGTGGCTAGTGACTATCATATCGTGGATGGTGGTGCAGCTAGAGAATATTTCTTTCTTTCTTTTTTTTTTTTTTTTTTGTCTTTTTTTCGTGACTGGCAACGGATCGCAACCCTCAGTGTCGCGCCCGTACCGGACCGGGACCGGCAACAGGATCGCAACCCTTGGTGTTGCGCCCACACCTCGCTCAGCCAGTGAGCGGGAACCGGTCTGTATGTGGGATCCGAACCCTCGGCGGGAGCGCCATCGCGCTCCCAAGCGGAGCACTGTAGCAGTGCGCCACCGGGCCGGCCCTGAGAATATTTCCATTCTCACAGAAAGTGTTATAAAATAGTGAAATAGAGAACTGAACACCATGAGGAAGCATCAGAAGTGCTTATAGTTATAACAGTGATGTGAATATAAAATATGAAAGTTGATTCAGCTGATGCGACTGCTAGGTGAGCATCCTCTCCCTCTTTCCTCCTTCCCTCCACGTTTAATTTCCCTGAAAGTGTGAATTTGTGTTGGTGAGGAAGACAGTCCCAAATTGGGCACAACATTCATTATTTGGTCAAAGCTGTTCAAGTAACTAGAACAGCTCCTCATATAACTTTTGATATAAATCATATGAACACAATTACCAATAAATTCTCAAAAGGTCAGTGTCTTTATAAGACTCTCTTCTTATGTGGAAGCAAGGCAGTACTACTAGAACTCCTGGTAAAAGGTTTTAGCCTTTCACAAGTGCCACAAACCAGGTGTATAATCCTGAAACGGCCAATTTCAGCATATCCCTACCCCCCACATCTTGGCATGTCAGTCACATTAACATAAAACCAGCTAATAACAACAGGTGGAAGGAACAACCTTTCAAACCTGAAGATGCTCTCATCACTTACCAATAAGAAGGTTTTCTGAAGAGGAATTATCCCTGACAGCTGTTACCACTTCCTTCTTCTTGGATAATGAAATCTAAGGTAGGGTCACATCTTTTGCCCTACCTGGAATGGATCAAAAGCTTTTCCATAGGAAGGAGGGGGCTGTGATTGAGAGGGAGCATAAGGGGGACTTCTAGTGTACGGAAATTATCTATTTCTTGATCCAGGTGGTGGTTCCATGATTATTTCACTTCCCACCCTCTAAAACAAAACTACAGAACACTGGAGAGGATAATGGACCACCCCTAATGAAGTCAGGAGGTAGAACACACAGAGCCCCAGAACTCTGGAGGTCCTGAGATTGGGAACATCTGGAGGAAGACTACATGTCTTCTAAAGCCTCAGCTGGAGGAAAATCACCCAAAGGGAGTTCTCTAACAGCTCTCAGGTACATTCTGGCAGGGGCAATATTACTATGAAGTAATTCGAGTTTTTTCTCCCCATACATAAATCACTGACGGTTTTGTTTTCTATTTCTCATATATCCCCTTTCAAATTTCTCTTCTCACACTCACCTATTTTATGAGACTTACCTCCTAATTACTCACATATGCACCTCTGCTTCATGCTGGCAAGCCCACTCAGTTTGCTCTTGGCATTGCCAGCTCCAAAGCACAGCTGGCACTATAGATCTCATCTTACCCTCAAGACCAGGGCTGGGGAAAGTCCATCTCTAAGCCTGCCTCCCTAAGCATAGCAGTTGGTTGATTGTTGTGTTTTTTGCTTTTAAATTCTGCTGGGCAGATGGTGGAGGACTTAGACTTCTGTGTACAGAAGTGATCAGCCCTACTCCACACTCCTTTATAGGCCAGCTGAAACTCTGGGAAGAACTATTCAATGGAAACCAGTAAGTTGGTGTTTTCTTAATAAAAATTAAAATGTTCCCAAGAATATTAATTAATATTTTTAAACATTCACTTTAAAAAAGAAAAAAAGGATTGTCTCAATATTTCTCCCCTTTCTGAATGGCTAGGGGCTTAAAATAATTCAGTGGAATTTACTGCTCATCTTTTATACTTACTCAGCTTAACTAATGTTTCAGTAAATTTTTCACAGTTGATTGCAACTCGGCATAATAGATGGATGAATTGATGATAAGAAAAGAAGTAGTCTAGCAGCATACGATCATAAACGTCATCTTTGCCCTGAAGGTTAAAGATGATAAAATGGTTGCACTTAAATTGTATAATAAATTAAAGAGCATATTTTGTGCAAATGTAATAAGTTTAACTAAAAAGCTGATTAAATCTTTAAATTCTATAAGAACCTAGTTTTAATTCCAAATTTCTAGTAATGTTATTAAGATCTTAACTGTCATAAGTTTATTTTCAGTGTGCAAATGCTATCAATTAAAATTACCCATTATTTCTATATACTTTAATAAAGTAAAATTGCTGTAGGATTTTAAAATGTGACACTTTAGCTCATCAGATATATCAAGAATTAATTAAATTTGATTTTTGAAATACGAGGTGTCTTCAAAAAGTTCACAGAAAGGTTCATATAATCTTTTTCTTCCCCCCCTAGCTGGCCAGTATGTGGATCTGCATACTGTCTTTTATATTTTTATTTTTCCATGAACTTCCTGAAGTACCCTCATAATCCAAATTATTTCTGTAATGGTTACTATAGTGTTAATTATTTTTAATATTATATCTTATAAGAATTTCTCAAGTACTTAAGATCCAAAGATGGTGGGCAAGGGAGAGTACGAATGAAGTATGGGTGAAGAAAGATAAAGGGCAAACTTGTTTAAAAAAAATCTATTGAAAGTAAGATAAAGTATCCTGTGTGAATGTACCTTGTCTCTAGAATTTAGAATTGGCACTATTTTAGAATAAGTGTTAGAGGACAGGAACCAGACTAAAAATGATGATAAATCTATCAATCAGTGGTATTATGCTTAGGTCAAAGAAATATAATTTAAGGGCAGTAAAAGAAGTTATTGATTATATGGTCAAATTTAAAAATAGTAAGTACCTAACTTCACTTTTCTGATTTAGATATAAGACCCAGTTATAATTTAGCCTAGTGACAAATACTAAGACTTACTATTAAGGTAATTTTTGAGGGAAAAAAAAAAACTTACTACTTGTGCTTATTGTTGATTTTGCAAATATTCAACCAACATTTCAGAGCACTAAAAGGAAAAAGTCCAAATGAGCCTAATCTTCTTAGGATCCACAAAATGGTCATTTAAGTCGAATATACTCATAACTGCCAGGGGTGAAATTTCAAATTACTTTGCACTACAGAAGCATGATTTTCCTGGCATCCCAACATACCTTACTGGTTTCCACCATTGTGGGCAAGAGGCACATATTGAGTTCAGGGCGCGGAGGCCGAATATTGCTTTTCCCTCCTATTAGCTTGATATTTTCTCGACAAGGGAAATAAGGTCCAAGAGACACTAAGACATTAAAAGTGTACAATAAGAATAAATGGAAAAAATAAATCTCCATGCTGCAGTGTGCAGAACGATAAAATGTGAACCATATTCAAGTATTGTGTTAGATAAATACGTACTTGGTATGTTACTGTGATGGTAAGTACAATGGTTGTGTTGTAGAAATGGAACCAGAGTATGAAGAAAATCATGGGGACTCAAAAGCACAAGTTCCTTGAGAACATCTGAAATGAAAAACACAATTTAGATATTAAAAAACTGGAGTTATACCTACCTGCTACTTTCAAACTCACAAATCCTATTGGGATAACTGGTTACAGTGTGGCAATCACTTTTATGAGTCTAAAACTGTTTTAGCTCCTGACACTGGGAGAAATTCTGTCTGATGCTCAATCAAATCTGGATCAGCAGAGTTACCACAATAGGCCACCATTTAGAAAGAGAAGTTAAAATACCAATGAATAGTGTTTTAACCAAGACATGCTTCTTAGAGAAAAATGGTGAGGAAAATATTTAATGCACAGTGATTATGTGTCTTCATGAAATCAACTACAATACTTCAGAAAGAAACCCAACACTCAAAGTTGCTTGGATGTGAGGGATAATCCTTAATCTACTTTTAATGTTTTATGATACTGACTGGACTGATTCTCATCTTCTAATCACATAGAAATAAACCTCATAATGACTGGCTACTGGCAGAATTTCTGGTGATCAGAAGTAACTGCTATATGTCCCTCTCCTTTTGCTGGAGAAGTATAAAAAATGCAGGCCAGTAATTACACAGAACATCAAGACTACTGGCACACAACAGCCAGATTTATTCATGCTACTTTGAGAAACTGGATATAAGCAGCAATGGTATCTAAGGTAGTAAAATAATTCACTATAAATTTAAAATGGGGGAGGGGGATCTTTTAACAACCACAATTATCATTTTATTATAAATATGCAATCAATAACAAAGTAAAATACTCAGAACCTAAGATCAGCTATTGAGAAGTATCTTTAGGCAAAAGAGCTCATGGTGATATAATCACCCCAACTCCTTACATTGTCAGTTCTACCTTGTAAACATTTACATGATTCTACCCTGCTTATATAGCATCAGAAGATTTTAGAGCTGCAAGGAACCTAGAGATAATCTAAGGTCAAAGAGCCCATATATATTAAATGACCTACTCATGATTACGTGGGTAATTACCAGGTTAAGAAATGGAACTCGATTTTCTTAGGACTTTCTAGCCAGTGTGTTACATGTAAAAAGCAGGAAGGTCTTCCAACCCCTACAGACCAAACATCACATCTTACAAAAAAAAAAAAACACGCAAAAATGTTCTTCGACTAGGTTTTTAAACAGGTTTATTTTTCAAGTTACTTACCTATACAGGCATTTCTAAGTTCTGGAGGGCTATAGGAATTAAGAAGAGTTAACAATTTATGGGCAAACTCAATTCGCTCCTGCCATTGGATTAATGCTTGTTTCACATCTGCAAATATAAAAGCATATATAAATATGCCATTTGAGAGATCAAACTTCCTCACAAATTCTTCTATTGTAAACTACAGAATGCTCACACTTAGAAACTCAAATTAATTACATAAACATCTTTGGTGAAAGCTTAGTAATTATTTTCATGAGATGGCTACTTCTGTTAAATCTGCTAAATTTCTTAAAGTACTTCAGTAATGAATATGTCCCACTTTCTAGGAATGTATATGAAATTCAGAGTTCACACTATTTTACAGGGACATAAGAGAGACATGTTTTATAGTTATTTCTCTTGAAACTAAAAGTGATCTAATCCATGACATGGAAGTTTCCAGCTGGAGAACCTTCACAAAATACCCAACTTGTTACTGTGCTGGGAAATGTTTTCCAGCCTCCTAAATCTTGGTCCTCCTTATAGCATGCCTGCCTATTTTTCAGGTGGGTATAATGAAAATATACAGGAGCATTCCAGTTTTACATCAAGAGGTCATGAGGTACATTTCCTGATGGTTAGCCTCATCTTCTATGCATAAACTAGAGTTAAAGACAATTTTTCTGGGGCACATGATTTAAAAACCATATCTGTCTTTAATAGTAGCACTAACAAAAATTAAGTAGGAATGACCAAACCTTTTCTCTGAAGATACGGGCGTGTAGACTTCAAAACCGAAAGGAATATTGACAGAAGTTCTACTAAGTCTCCAGTCACATGGCAAGCTGTAGCTTCATGATACATCATGTGCAATGTGTTGAAAGACTATAAGTGATTTAAAAAAATTGAAAACTTAATTTCATTTTTACTTTATTGGGCCACAAAGTGGTAGTGCTCATCCTCTATGGCAGATGTTTTTGGATTCAGACTGTATGTGTGTGCACATATGTGGAAAGCAAATATATTTGCTTTCGAGCCAAAAGTCAAATTCTCCCACTCAGCTCTTTCTAGATACAAGGGTACTTCAAAAAGTTCATGGAAAAATGAAAATAAAGATGAATTTTTCCATGAACTTTTTGAATATCCCTCGTACCTAGACAGTCCTCATCTTTAGGGCTCTGGTATTTTGTGTATACATTCTAGTCTGAAGAAATAATTTGTTGAATCTTTTTTTTTCTTTTGGATGGCTGGCCAGTACAGGGGTTTGGACCCTGGACCTTGGTTTTAGTAGTGCCATGCTCTAACCAATTGAGCTAAACAGCCAGCCCTTGTTTAATCATTTTCTTAAAAAAACTATTTGCTCTAAGACTACAAGCCTTAGAGATTACAAAGCAGCAGGCAACACAGGAAGATTAGGGAGAACAGGTAACTGTTTAAACTAACTTTCCAGGGCCTCTGTAGAAAGACAATGGTGAAATGGCTGTCAGCCATACTCAAAATAATAGGCCTGAAAGAGGTAAAAAGAGTTCGAAAAGGTAGCAATTCAATTATCAATTATTATAATAATAATTATTACATACTTATTATATAACATACATATTACATATTATTAATGTTAGTCAATTTTTATAATGTTAATCTTTTAATTCCTATAACTGTATTAGCCTAATTAAACCCCTGGTTTTTTTCCTATTTCATTTTACAATGAAGCACTCTTCCTGTAATCCTGTTGAGTAAGTTCACCATAGTCTATATACTATTCACAATTCATAGTTCAAAATTCTTAGGTTAGAATCTGTGGCAATAAATAATCTGAACAATGTACTTGTACAGTATTTAACCTGTAAGCTGTGAGGACAGGAACTATGTATGTCTTGTTCACTGCTGTATCCCCAGTGCCTAGCACAATGCCTGGCACAGAATAGACATTCAAACATCTGTTGAATGAAAGAACGAAATTCTCACTATTCCTTTTCACATACCTTTTCTTTTAGCCAAACAGAAATACTCGGCATTGCTCAAACATAATCAATACTGGCCTCTATGCTCATACAGTCATTTATCTAAATGCTGTCCTACTTACATTCACAAGTCCAAATTCTTTAAGTGTAGTTTCAAACATGTTCTACTCCTATTCTATAAAATCATTAACTGAAAAAACTATCCTACCTCTTAATTCTTATGGTACTGTTAGGGTAGCATGTACTCTTTGGTCTTATCTTCATTATAACACTAAAGAGTATGATGCATCTCTGGTGGCTTTAAAGCAACCTCACATTTGTGGATGTTCAAGATTATAGAAAGAATAAATGGCCGATTTTAACCACCTTTGTATAGTCTCACTGCCTTCCTCTGATGATGCTCTCAGTTTCTGTACTCTGTTAAATAAGTGGGCTCTTGGAAAATTATGTGTGCCCTTGATTATATCATATAAATTTTGGTTTTGTTCTTACAAATAAAAGAATAAAACTAGTCTATTTAAAATGGGTGTTTAAAATAAGGGGAAAGGTATGAAATTACTATGGAAAAAGAAATAGCTCCCTAAAAATTATGACTTAATTATTATTGGAATAAGAATTAGCATTTATTAATGTATATAATTAAAATCCTGCTATGTGGAAAACAGTAACCAAAAATTCTAAATGTCTACAAAACAAGAAGTCTTGATGAAAATATTAAAATGAGATAAATCCACAGTAAAATGTAACAAAATATTTACCTCAGTCATCAGGATCAACCCTCGATTAAATACAACGAGAAGTCTGTCTTCATCAGATTCTAATAGTATTCTGAAGGCACTAGAAGAATATATAAAGTCCAGCTTGAGAATTCTGAATTAGAACAGAACACTTAGGTGATGAAAAAACAAACGGAAATAAAATTGTCATTTAAAATCTCTGCTTTCCTACCTATAGAAAAGGATCTGCTACATCTGTTTCTTAGTAATGCAGTAAAAGGAAATAATATTAAATAAGAAATCTAACTTATAGACACATTATGTCTCAATATCTAATCTACTTTTAATTATCCACAACGGCAGAAGATAGGAATGATTGGAATATTTTTAAACTTTGAATAGAAACAAAGTTAATTTTTTATAGTGGGTTTATCTTCTAAATTAAGTTCTAGTTAACAATGAAATACACTTGTTATTATCAAAGTATTCATCAGCTGATCACTGGGAAGAAAAAGTAACATGAGGGGAAAAATTACTAAAAATAAATGTTGGCCTTGAAAATAAACTTTATCATAATTACCAAAGTTGTTGTATTACTGCTGTTAACAGACCTTATTTTACTAGGTACCAGAAAGTGCTATTATAGAGAACTGGAAATCCCCCTACCTTAATCCCTAATTAATGAAGACTGAAATTTAAAAGCTTTCTGAGGAAGATAATCTTGAAATAACCTTATGTTGTTTTGATTAGTTCAAAACACTACAGTTAAGTCTTCAAGAAAGTACTGCCCCCCCCAAAAAAAATGTGCCTAATAAAGGATATCATTCCAAGTCTTAGATGTAATATACAGAAGCATTTTAAGAAATTAGCCTGAACTTTATTTCTACAGGTAAAGGGAATTTGTAGCAGTTTCTCTGCAGCCATTCTGTAACTTCTGTAGCTCTGAACAATTAACTGTAAAGATTACGTTTTGTTATTCTGGCCAATTCCTGTAGATAAGAAAGCCAGATAGATAGATCTGGACTCAACAGAATGAAAAACATCAACAGTCAGACTCATCCAAAGATGAAGAAAGCTGTTTCTGGAGGCCTCTAGAACTGAACTATCTAAGCGTAAGTTATGATGAATTGCCATAGACAGGATCATTCAAGCTCTAGGTGGAAGACTGTATGTTAAGGTTCCTTCCACCCCCAAGATTCTGATTTTGATAGAATACACACAAATATAAACCCAAACCAAACCAAAACGAAAACTGTTAAAAAGTAGCTCATTAACTTTCAAAACATAAATTCTTCTAAAGTGACTAAATGCATAAATGCTTCCCCAATAACCTTAAAGAATTAGCAAATTTTCACTTATAAACAATGCATAGTTTTTCTCTTTTAGTAAATGCATAGTTTTCATCTTTTACTAAATGATGGTACCTATCCCCTCACTTGGAAAAACAAAACAAAGAAAAAATACCAGAAAACATCTTTTTACCTTATTAAAGTAGTCCAGCAGGAGCGGCCATCTAAGCAACGTAAATAACAACTTATGGTTGTTTTCTTAAACTGTTTAATATCTTCTAATTCTTCTTCTCTCATATCTGGCCTCTGAGCTATAAACAGTTGCATCAGGTTAAATAATTCTTCCACTGCCTAAAACAGGCAAATAAACAATATGATGATCTTTTAACCCTACAACATTTTAGAATGTCAGCTTTGCATTTCTGAATGTTATGCTCATTAGACAACTCTTAAAATTATACAAATGAGTTAGATTACACTACCGTTCAGGAATACTTATTATAAGAATAATAATTCTATTTTTAAAATTTATCATTCATTTTTAGTCTTAAGACTGTGTAAAGCACTAGTTTTGTAACTTCAAATGTGTGAAAAGATATGCTACACCAATTCTCTGCCCCCTTTTCTTTAATAAATAATAAGTTGTTACTTTGTCACAAAGATTTTAAATATCTAAATTACACTTGAATTAATACTCTGAAATAAACCTTTGTACCTACATTTGGAATAATCTTTCTAGACTTATGATCAGTTCAAGTTTCTGATAGAAGAAATGTGGGAATTAATACTTTAGTAAAAATCACTAGCTGTGATTTTACAAACTTATTTGCTTATGTGCATGTTAGGAAAGGGTTGCTCTTCTAACATAACTCTTGTGAACTGAAACTGCCAGCTTCATATTTTTCATGGCAAAATTGACTTGAACACCATTTTCAAGAAAATTTCCAACAGATAATTTCTACAATAAGGATACTACCTTTCATTGATGTTAAGGTCAAAAAACAACCCAGGAGTCGGGGGCAGGAGATAAGCACTTTAACTCACCTAGCACCTTCGTCAAAGGTATATTTAACTCTGGACATCACATTCAGTAACTAAATCAAATATAATTTATGTGGATGGGATAGAGACAAACCCATTGAAACTTAATACATCCTGTCCTGACGCCTTTGAAGTCAGAGAGACTCTCTTATTCTTTTCTGTATTCTTCAACCTTGGCTTTTTACTTCTTGGTACTTAAATACACTCTCTTTCCTACATAACAAGCATTCTAATTTTCTTAACAGGATATTACTTCTGGGTAGGAGACTCTCAACAACTCAATACATCATCTAAACAACAGTTTACAACAGAGAGTACAAGGCAACAATGAAAAGTAATATCTAGCAATGACAGCCTTATATGGAGGGGAAATTTTTTTTTTTTTTTTGTCCTTTTTGAGACCGGCCGCACTGCGCTCAGCCAGTGAGCGCTGTGAGTGCACCGGTCAACCCTATATAGGATCCGAACCCGCGGTGGGAGCGCTGCTGCGTTCCCAGCGCCACACTCTCCCGAGTGTGCCACAGGCTCGGCCCTGGAGGGGAAAATTTTTAATATGAAACCTACAAATAGTTCTCTGCAGAGAACAAGCATCAGATTTAGACTGCATATAGTTGTATCCCAATGGATCTCTTAAGCATTTTTCATTCACTTGGGTGTAGCTTGAGAAACCATACTAAGGAATACTACTATCTTAAGACAAAAATACTGTCTAGCTCACAGCTTAGCATAGCATGTATATCTTGATAATGAATATACAAATTTTAAATAGTAAAGTACTTCTCTAAAACTGTACCACAAAGCTTTTTTCATTAGGTACACATGAAAGCTGCATTTACAAAACCACAAATTGAAATACATAAGTTCCATTTTAACTTCAACCTAAGAAAAATTATCCACATACTTATCAATTTTATAACAATATAACATTTTATACATGTACTCAGAAAAAACAAATATTCCTTAAGTTCTTAAGAAAGAATAGTTAGCTTTTTCTATTTTGTCACCACTTCCAGCAAGAGGAAAAACAGGTATTTCCAATCAACTTGAGGATACAGTTAAAAGAATATCTATTTTACTCACTCCAGGGTATTGGCTGGCATGTGGTGTAAGATTCTTAAAGGCCCACTGGATGTTCTGGTGAGAAGCCAGTTGTCGTGTGAATGCAGAAGACTGCTCGCAGCATAGCCTCAGAATGCCATAGTAGGCAGGCAGCATCCCACGGTTAAAAAGCACCACATCCTGATCATCATGGTCAGCAAGGATGTAATTGAAGGCAATGTTCTTGGTTACCACTGGGTTCTGAACAATAAGGCGGATATTCTCTGGACAGTCAGCACACACATTGTACCAAAATGAAAGCAAAGCCTGTTTATTGTGATTTGTAGCTATTGCTGGCTCAGAAAGTTTAGGCTGGAAAAGGTTCCACAAATCCATGAAATATGTGGAAAACATCAGCTTCTCAGTTTTGGAAATTAAACAGTAAGTCATAAAGCTAAAATAGGGCACTAGCTTTGTAGTGCCATGAACAGCAGCATCAACATAAAGTTTGGCTCTTGAGAGCAAACCAAGGAGCACGTTGTAGACCTGATGTAGGACTACTGTTGTGTCTGGACTGAGTGGAAGGTCACGGGTTGGGATGTGCAAAGACCTTGTTGACCGGAACATCTGGCGGAATGAATTGCTTGGAATAAGGGACACCAGAAGATAAGCTGCAGCTATAAAATGTAAAACAGAACTGTCAGATCCTTATAAGATATTAAATAGACTGAAGAGCAGTCATTCAGCACAAAGCCACTCTTCCCTTTAATTAAAATGAATAAAAATTAAGGGACATGAACATCTCTTTTAATATCTTTCTGCTTTTACACCCTTGGACACACAGAACGATCCTAAGGGGTGACAGAAACAGACATCTTTCATTCTGCCATTGCTACTTTTTAAGTGGCAACAACAATTGCTATTAGCAGAAACAGTTTTTAAACCTCTTTTGTTTAGCTTTCCCAAGATGCAGAATTTTCCCACTCGATAATTAATTTCTTCTCAGAAAGGAGTATGATTTAACAGAGGGAGCACAGCACTTGGAGCCAGAAGACCTATCAAAAGGTGCTGGACATGGTCAAACCATGTAAAGTTTTATGGTCTTAATTTTCTTATTTAAAAAATAATAGTAAATTATTTTGTAATAATTTATAGATAATGGTAAAATATACTTAAGTTATAAAGAAAATGATATCTATATAAAAGTCCATTGTATTATATACAATTATATGTGCTAATTATAGAACATTAACTTTGGAAAATCTTTAAAAGTCTTCTAAGTCTAACCTTATACCCAAAGAAAGAATCCCTTCTTCAACATACCTGAAAACTGTTATATTAAGCCTATATTATAATTCTGAGAGGTTAATGACTTATTAGTTGAGTCCATCTGTAAAAGCAGTTACTATAGGCAAGGCACTGAGCTAGGTACTTTACAACTATCTCATTTAATCCTCATAATCATCCTGGAAGTAAGTGATGTTACATTGGAAAATCTGAATCTTGGAGAAGCAAAGACTAAGGTCACACAGGTAAGGAGGTGGAGCCTAGATTAGGCCTTGAGAAACAATGATGATGAAGACAAGAACAATAATGGTAAAACAGTAACAATAACAACAATAACAAGAACTGCTAACATTTATTGAATTGTATACTATTTGGCATCCTAACTTCATGTGGTAGGCACTGCTTTTATTATTCTCACTTTCATTCAGGCTTAAAACAGTAAGACTACCCCAGATTACACAGCCAGCAGCAGAGCTGTGATTCAAACTCATACCGACAGACTTGTGAGCTAAAGCGCCTAACAGCATTCACTACAGAACACCTCCTTAAGACTCTCTCATGCCTGAGTGTAGGCTCTTTTCAATAAACCGACTATAGTTTTGTCTTCAATTATTCTACCTATAATTTGATAAATTCCATCATATTGTCAAAATAAATAAAGTTGGGGTTTCAAAAATTAATTGTAGTCTATTTTACAAATTTGTTTCAAATTAAACTTCATTTGTGCACAATACTCCATTTCCTGAGTATTTCTTTACCCATATACTGCTCTGGTTAGTCTTATTTTTCTTAGGCTTAGTTTGATATGCACTTCAAATTTAAAAATTTAGCATGCAGGTATCATCCTGATCAATTTTTGTATAAAACTGCAATTGAGAAAGATAATTTATGGTTTTAAAAAGTCATTCAGTTTAAGTAATACTTTCATCCCAACATTTATTAAGAAAAATTTTAAAACACAGTAAAAGGCTGAAAAAAACTTTACTGAACACTCACTGACTTACCACCTAGATTCTACAATTAACATTTTGCTTGGCTTTATCCCTTATCTGTCTCTTAATTTCTATAAAAGCTATTTGCTTTTAAATAAAAAATAAGTTCTGCTAGGCAGAAAAACACAACTTTTTAATTATGTTTATCTTTAAGAACAGTTAGGAAGGAATATGGAAGAGTAGGCCATCTTGTTAAACACTGTCTTGCTATAACTTAAGAGTCCCTGGGTCTAGAAGTTCTGCTAGGCAGAAAAACACAACTTTTTAATTATGTTTATCTTTAAGAACAGTTAGGAAGGAATTTGGAAGAGTAGGCCATCTTGTTAAACACTGTCTTGCTATAACTTAAGAGTCCCTGGGTCTAGTTTTATATTATAGAAAACTTAGAACAAATCTACTTTGACTTCTCTCTGATAACTCTTCAACTATTTTCAGACACTCATGTCTCCATTTTTCTTTTCTTTAGACTAAACATTCTCAGTCATTACTTAAAATTATTTTGTAGTATTTAGAAGTATTTCTCTGTAGTTTTTCTTTTCATACATGTTACTTTAATACTTATTCTAAAAAATACTCATTTTTCTTTCATACATGTTAATTTTTATTCTGAGTTATACATTCTGTTCAAATATTTGGGGCCCCTTTTCAAGTTACATATATCAAAAGCACTTTTTCATATCACAAAACAGTCTTCACTTCCATAATTTTAAAATGATGCATTATAATAATTTGTTTCCTAAATGAACAGTTTTTAATTTTTCACAATTATAAATAATGCTGTTGAGCATCGATTCCCCCCACCCATCCCTCTGGCATCCATTTATTGGATGACTTACTTATACTAGAATCCCCAAAATGGTATCCCCGAGTTAAAAGGGCACAACATTTTTAAGGATCTTGGTACATATTGCTAAACTGCCTTTCATAAGGGTAATATTAGCTTTTGATGTTACTGCAACACACAAGAACGCCATTTCCTCAGCACTGTCATAAATATTAGGTGTAACAGCTGGCTAAAAACTTTTTTTTGATTCAGCATAGGGTTTCTTTCTGGTTTATGCTCAGGGGTCAGGTCACAAATGCCAACTAGCACAGACGTGAGCTCTTACAAATATCCCATTATTGTGGGTTTTAACTCAACTGACAGGAAAAGTAAGACCATGAGCAGAGTACCAATGCCAATCCATGTGTCCCCTCCACTGAAAAATGTTTCTCTCAAATAAATCTTTTATTTTAGAATAAGTAAAACAGATAATTTCTATATAGCCTGTACCCAGTTTTCCCTATTGTTAACCTCTACTATTACCATGGTACATTTGTTATGACCAAGGAACGAACACTGTTATTAAGTGACCCTGCACTTTATTTACATGTCACTAGTCCTGTCCTAATGTCCTTTTTTTGTTCCAGGATTCCCTCTAAGATACATTACATTTAATCATCATGTCTCTTTAATTGGCTCTTGGCTGTGAATTTCTCAGACTTTCCTTGTTTTTGATGACCTTGACAATTTTGAGGAATACTGGTTAGGTATTTCATAGAATGTCCTTCAAATTGAGTTTGTCTGATGTCTGTCATGTTTAGACTCAGGTTATGGGTTTTGGGGAGGAATACGATAGAAATCAAGTGCACTTCACATCACATCACATTAAGGGCAAGAATACATGCTATCAACTTGACATATCAGTAATGATGTTACTAAAGATTGTGATGGCTAAGTCACAACCTGTCAAGGTTAGTCACTGTAAAGTTACTTGCCCCATCCTCCACGCTCTACTCTTTGGAAGTAAGTCACTAAATTCATACTCATGGAGTGAGGAGTTAAACAACACCTCCTGGGGGAGGGGTGTACATAAATTATTTGGAATTCTGTATGGGAGATTTGTTTCTTCTCCATTTATTCATTATTTTTTCTTTCCTCCTTTATTTATTCAATCATTTATTTATATCAGTAGGGACTCATAGATATTTATACTTTGGGTTATGGTCCAGTGTTGTTATTTGTTACTCAAATTGTTACAACTTTGGCCAATGGGAATGCTTTCAGGTTACCTCTGTGTCCCTTTAACATACCCCCAACCGTTTTGTTTATTTGAGCACTTCCTCACTTTCTGGCACTACAAGATGCTCCAATCTCATCTTGTATATTCTCTATCCCAACCCTAAAATCAACCATTTCTCCAAGGAGCTGTGAATCCTTTTATTGAAGAATCGTGTTCAGAATCCAACATCTGGGTACTGAATGTGCTTGCTGCTACTGAAGTGTCACTGACTCTAGGCCCTTCTCAAGGGACAGATAGAAAATGCTTTTAATGAATAAAAAATTTCAAAAATTAACTATTTTGATTTTAATTTCTTTAACTATCAAAAGTGAACATATTCTATGTTTCTTTACAAGCAATTTTCTATACTTTGAAATATCCATTTTTGATATCTACCCATCTGTCTTCAAAGATCTTTGTGTATTCTTTACCTGCTTGTGTACATTAAAGTTGTTAATCATTTAACATAATGTTTATCCATAATTTTGGTCAGTATTTTCTCTCAGCTTGTTTTATGTCTTTGTTACTATTTTACTGTTAGCCTTCTCCAGAAGTACTTTTTTTTTTTTTTTTTTTTTGGTCTTTTTCGTGACCGGTAAGGGAATTGCAACCCTTGGTTTGGTGTCACCCGCACCGCGCTCAGCCAGTGAGTGCACTGGCCATCCCTATATAGGATCTGAACCTGCGGCGGGAGCGTCGCTTAGCTCCCAGCGCCGCACTCTCCCGAGCGCGCCACGGGGCCGGCCCCGGAAGTACTTTTTAAAACAGGACTTTCTGACCTTCACTAATGCTGATCATGTCCTGTTACTCTATCAAGCAAGGAGACAAAAATGGTAGTAGTGATGATGTCATCCAAGAAAGAACATCGTTTCCTATCCTTAAAAAAACAAAAACAAAAATGTTGTAGTACTTGTAAAAAACACTGTCATAAGTTTCTAAATACTAATATAACTTTGGCTTTTAAGAACATCTCCAAGAGTTTTGCATTATACAACAATGGGAATATTGAGGTTGCCTTAAAAACAAAACAAAACAAAATTTGGAACAGTGATAAATAGTTTGTTAAATTCCAAATAGTTGACTTACAAGTCCTGACTCTAGGATAATTGTGTGCCAAAAGAAACCGCTCAACCCAGTTTTCCATATTCTGTAGGACCCAGCTGTGTGCCAGTTTATTTCGGGGTGTCTGGACTGCCAACCAATCCAGACACTGAGAAGGATTGTATTCAATCACCTACAAATAAAATGACAAGAACAGAATATAAAGCCAACTGAATGAGCAGTTACTTACTTTTGGTATATGCCATTAAACACTTAAAGCTAAAGTAGTTTTCTGAAAACTAAAGCTTAAAGGAAGTTTCAACCATGTGTTTTCCCATTTTTAAGCTACTTCCTTTTGCCAATAGGAAACGTTCAGGAAAATTTGTCATTAGTTTAACAAAATAAATTTAAAATAACCAAGAACTATATAACACAGGACAAATATAAAAACTCAATGACTTTTATGTTTTCTTAAATTTATAAATTTATTTAAAAGTACTTTAATTCTCTAAAGTTCCTCATCCTTACTTTTCTTATTCCATGCCTAACATATTACTATTAAATAAGAATGTAAAAGTAGCTCACTGTACTTCTATGGAGATTTTTTTTTTAATGGAAGATGGAAATCCTAAGAATCTAGAGCAGGGGCTGGCAAACTATGGCCTGCAGGCCAAATTCTGTGGCTGCCTGTTTTTTAGTGGGACACAGCCATGCCCACTCATTTACTTGTTGTCCATGGCTGCTTTGAGGCAAAAACAGCAGAACTGAGTAGTTTCAACAGAGATTTTATGGCCCACAAAGCCTAAAATATTTGCTATCTGGCCCTTCAGAGAAAAGGTTTGCTGATCCCTGGTCTAGAGCTTTTCTGACACTCACCAAGGAGAAATTGTGTGATCTCAGCAGTAACTCTGGAAGAAAGAAAGTGGTTTGTACTTCCTCTATTTTGTCTAACAATTGCTGAAACCTTTGGTTTGTATTTCTAGGGCTTCTACTGTCTTCAAGGAATCTTTTGGGAGGGTGAGGGAATGAGAACTTGACTGGCTAAAAGCTTCTTTAGGAATCTACAAGAATGTCTTCAAAACATCTAGGAGAGTAGCTAAGAATTCTTTTTTTCCTCCAAACCTCTGACTAAAGCTTCCTCTTCTTCCCTGGACCTGTGACTTACTAAAACCATTTTGGGGTACTCAAATAAGAAGAAACTATTGCTTAAAATGATAGTGACTGTATTATAAAAATAAAATCCTCAGAAAAATAAATACTGAAAACATTTGCTGCAAGACTTACCTCCCATATCCTCTGCAGAATGTAAGACGCAAAGGGAGGCATTCCTGGAGGTCCACCAGCGAACTCCATCAGCATAGTCAACAATTTAAAGAAAGGATTGGCTGCCTGTAAGACACACATATGACTGTGTATTTAGATGATGTGAACCCACCTCTTTCAGCAGAAAAGAAACACAAATACTCTCTACACATCACATTGAAATCTGCTATGTTAGGTTAGTAGAGCTCAGTCAATACTCCTGCCTACAAAGTCGAACTACCATAAAGCAGCAGGATCAGCTAGGGTATACAAAGTCAGTGGCATGGGAGCCACAAGTAACAGATTTTTCTGGATATCAAATATATTTGTAAACAAATTTTTTTTAATTGACAACATTATATATATTTATGATGTACAATATAATGTTTTGAAATATGTATACACTGTGGAATGGCTAAATCGAGCTAACTAACATACACATTACTTCACACTTATTTTTTGTGGTTTGAACACTTAAAACTCTAATCTCTTAGCAATTTTGAAGTATATTTTTCAAGAATAATTTATACTTTTCAATTATAATTTTCAAGTATTGTTATTAACTATAGTCAAGTTATAACAATAAATCTCTTGAAACTATTCTTCCTAACTGAAATTTTGTATATTTTGTCCAACATCTGCCCAACACCAAAAACAAATTTTGTTAATGAAGTAACCATGTTCTATTGAAAAACTGAGATTGTAGCAACCTTTGATCCCTGAGGGGTAATTTATGTTAATGTTTGACATGTATTGTTAAAGTAGCTTAACGTTTCCATTTTATAAGGACACTTTTATACAATACTATAATCCTACTTTCCCCGTATTTCTCCACATATGTGGAGATCTAGTTACTTTTCCTCTTGAGCACAATTATGATATATGCTTCACCAAATAACTTTAAAGCTTAGCATCTAAGCACTTCAATATACTGAATTTATATGGATATTTATATTTAGTCGGGAAAATTATATCTGTGATAAGACATGAAGCAATAATTCAGTTTATTCAAATTATACACTTAAAAATACGTTATTGTGTTATGAGAGACACCTTGATAAACATTTTTTCAAGAACAATTAGAAAGGCTCACTTGAAAGCATTATCAGTGCTGATAGTAGTTTTAAAAACACAAATTAATGTATGTTTACATACCTCAGGAGTCAACTTTGCTATTGATGTGAAAAGCATAGATATAATCTAAAACAGAAAAAGGAGGATTTCAGAATATTCTTTTTAAAATTAAAAAAAAACTTTAAGATTTTCTTAGCACTTACGTGTTCTGCAAGTCGATTATTGTATCTACATAGGCTGAAAATCAGATTACAAGTTTGTCTTATATTGATGCCATCACGAATATGTTGAAATAAGAAGGGAAATCCCTGTTAAAAGCAAAAGTTATTCATTTAAGAACTGTTATTATTTTCGCAATGATCAAATTGTCTAACATCAGAGAAGATATTTACCTTTCCTCCAGTTAATGCCGCCATGTCAGTCTGTGATAATGTCAAATGCCTAAAAGAAAATGAGTGGAAATAAGTTTTTCATCTGTGTTACTTTATAGCTATTCACATCATGACATGCATCAAAATGTTGATTCAATTATAACTGTACCAACCCTGCCATCATAAGACAGTCTGTGATAATGTCAAATGCCTAAAAGAAAATGAGTGGAAATAAGTTTTTCATCTGTGTTACTTTATAGCTATTCACATCATGACATGCATCAAAATGTTGATTCACCAACCCTGCCATCATAAAATGATTTCTGGACTTTTTGCTAGGTAGACTTGCTTACTAAACATTTTTAAGGCAATTTTTAAAGATTCTAGAGTTAGTATATGGAAGCCCAAGTCTACTTTATTTCTAATTAACTAACTCAATATTTTAGTATACTAAAACACTATGGTGGTTCTCATTTTACTTAGCTGTTTTGTTTTTGTTTTGATGTGAAACCCTTCAAATCAAATGGACTTGCAAGAAATGCTAGCATTTCACCACCCAGCTTAAAATTATTGCATATTTCTTTAACTTCTTATAAAAAATTTCAGATACATAAAAAATAGAATAGTACAAGTATCCCATCATTCAGCTTCAAATTTAACAAAAATCACCACCAGTCTTGTCATATATGTACCCCCATTCGCTCAGTATGAATAATTCTGAGGCAAACTCCAGGAATTTTATAATTTAGTTCATAAACCTCAATTCATATCTCTAACAGATAAATTTATTTTTTTGTTGGTTATTTTTAGATATTTAAAATTATTATCATATTCATTCCTACACATCATATTTCTTTATGTCCTTTGCCGACCTATCACTTCCCAAACCCCCTTCCTCCCTCCCCACCATCTCTAGTACCCTTAGGTTTGTTCTCTCCTTCTCAAAGTTCAATGTATTGGGGTCTTTTCTTTCTTTCTTTCCTTCATTCCTTCCTTCTTCCCTCCTTCCCTCTCTCCCTTCCTTCTTTCCTAGCAGCCAGTTATGAGTGAGAACATGTGGTATTTGTTTGTCTGTCTAGCTTATTTCACTTGAAATAATTTTCTCCAGACTCATCCATTTGCTGCAAATGGCAGAATTTCATTCTTTTTTTTACAGCTGAGTAATATTCCATTGTGTATATATACCACTTTTTCTTTATCCAGTCATCTGTCAATGGACACTTAGGTTGGTTCCATATTTTGGCTATTGTAAATACAGCTGCAATGAACAAAGGAGTGCAGGTATCCCTTCAACATGATGATTTCCATTCCTTTGGATATATACCCAGTAGTGGGATTGTTGGATCACATGGTAGCTCTATCTGTAGTTGTTTGAGAAACTTCCATACTGTTTTCCATAATGGCTGTGTTATTTTACAATACCACTAACAGAACAGAAGAGTTCCCATTTCCCTGCATCCCCGCCAACATTTGTTATTCCCAGTCTTTTTAATAATGGCCAGTCTAACTGGGGTGAGATATCTCAATGTGGTTTTGATTTGCATTTCTCTGATAATTAATGATGCTGAGCATTTTTTCATGTACCTATTGGCCATTTGTATGTCTTCCTTTGAAAAATGTCTATTCATTTCCTTTGCCCATTTTTTAATTGGATTTTTTTTTTTTTTTTTTTTTTTTACTGTATGTGTTTGAGTTCTTGTATATTCTGGATATTAATCCCTTATCTGATAGTTTGCAAATATTTTCTCCCATTTTGTAGGTTGTCTTTCCACTCTATTGATTGTTTCCTTTGCTGTGCAGAAGCTTTTTAGTTTGATATAATCTCATTTACTTATTTTTACTTTTGTTGCCTGTGCTTTTGGGGTCTCATTCATAAAGTCTTTGCCCAGTCCTATTACCTATAGTGTTTCCCCTATATTTTTCTTTAATAATTTTATGGTTTCAGGTCTTATATTTAAGTATTTAATCCATTTTGAGTTGATTTTGGTATATGGTGAGAGGTACAGGTCCAGTTTCATTTTCTGCATATGGATGTCCAATTTTCCCACCACTCTAACAGACAAATTTTAAAAACCAACCACAATATCATTATTCACACCTAAAATAAATCAATAATTCCTATCATAGCCAACGTGCAAATTTCATCAAGTTTCTAAAAAAAAGTGTTTTATAGTTAATTTGTTTGAATCAGGATCCAAAGAAAGTCCTTTGTTGTAACTGGTTGAAATGTCTCAAATCTTTTATCTATTGGTTCCTCCTCCGACTTTGTTTTTATCTTGCAATTTATCTGTTGAAGAAAGCAGATCATAAGTTCTGTACAGTTTCCCACATTTATATTTTGCTGATTATATCCTTGTAGTGTTGTTTTAATATGTCCCTTTGTCCCTATATTCTCTGTAAACTGATAGGTAGGCCTAGAGACTTGATTAGATCTAAGTTTGACTTTTTAATCAAGGATATTTTGTAGGTGGACTTTCACGAGGAGGCACACGATGAAAGATTAGTCTTTTTTGTAACTTTTTCAGCCAACGATGATTATTGTCTAGATCTATTACTTCATCTGGAGTTTGCAAAATAGTTCTAATTCCAATAGTCCTATTCCATTTATTAGATCAAATACCTCTATGATGATGCACTTCCCTGTATCAACCATTTGGTTGCCACGAGGTATACTTGATACTTAATACTGTTTCTTTTATTCGTCAGTTTTCAAAATAATGATTTGATTTCCCAGTACATTCCAAAGGTTGACAATAAGCTTTTAAAATTTTCTTTTTAGGAATCACTGTGAACTCAGATTTAAACATCTCTGAATGAATGACTTTGAAACACGTGTTTCAAAGTCCATTGCAGTTATTCTTCTTATTGATGCTCAAGTTGTCCAATCTATGACCAGTAGAAACCTCCTTCAGTTGGCTCTTCAGTACTTTCAACAACATGACCTCAGTAGTCTTAGGTAGCCTCCCTGCTTTCCAAAATGACAAAACATTCCAGGCTACTCATTCATTTCTTGCCAAAGACCCAGAATTGGCCATTTCTCCAAGGAACCCAAATTCTTTCAGTGGAAATGATATCTAGAGACCACAATCTGGATGCCACGGATACCCACTGATTCTGGGTTGAATAGGATTTCCAGGCCTTTTCAGAAAGCAGAGATAAGTAATACATTTTCTGTTTCTTTAAGACAAAATACGGGCCGACCCCGTGGCTCACTCGAGAGAGTGCGGCGCTGGGAGCGCAGCGGGGAGCGCCGAGGCCGCAGGTTCGGATCCTATATGGGGATGGCCAGTGCGCTCACCGTGGTGCAGGCGACACCAAGCCAAGGGTTACAATCCCCTTACCGGTCACAAAAAAAAAGACAAAATACTCCATAAACTCATACTGATATTTCCAATTCAAAAATAGTTTTAAAGAAATTATGTAAAAATCTTACAATTTGATATTTGTATCTCTTTTTTGTTTTGCTGAAAATCTTGGTTTCTAACGACATAACTACTTATTTGCTTTATACTATAATATACACATAAGAGTTTCAGAATAATTACTAACAATATAATTATAAAACAGTTTAGAATAATTTAGTAATTCTTTTTGTCCTTCATATACATCCCACCAGGAATTAATAGTTACTGGGTTCAAGGTCACTTTAATTTCTCTCCTGTGGGTATGCCACCTGCTTAATATGAACTTCTTGATGTACCCTCATACATTGTTATATACATTTATTTCACTGTGCTTTTGATTTTTAGGAACTGCTTCTTATTCATTTATTTGTAATTATACAAAACATTTACATAATTCCAAAGTTAAGTCTACAAAACAAAATATTGTCCCTTCAACCTGTTTTCTTTCCATTTACTGGAAACTTTTTTTTTTTTTTTGCAGCTGGCCAGTACGGGAATCCAAACCCTTGACTTTGGTGTTATCAGCACCATGCTCTCCCAAGTGAGCTCACCAGCCAGCCCTGGAAACCATTTTTTAAAGAAACCTTTTTGATTTATAGTTAAAGTATTGATATTTGTAGTAGTTATCTTCTATAAAGTGCTGCAAACACTGAATTAGCAAATATCAAATCATTGCTCTTAGGGGAAATACACAATCAGGTTCCTGCTAGCCTTTGGTCACATTTTCATCAACTGATCAACAGTACCTTGTTTTATGGGTATTTCTGTTTAAAGACACTTTATTTAATATATATTGTTGATTAATTAACATTGAACTCATGGCTAACTGCACTGTAACTCATATGTAAATGAAACTTATCTTAACACATGCATTTTTACCCTAAGGTACATCACAGCCTTCTTAGCTTAGGAACACTGGATAGCACTTCAGTAATATGCTTGACTGGCCATTTTAAACAGTGAAATCACTAACGAAAAGCCAAAAGCATTTGAAAAATTTTCACAGCATACACCATGGGAAGTACATTTGTTTACAATATGAAAACTGAAACAAGAAGGTAGATTGTTGCCTTATGTGAGTGACTTCATCTGGGAAAGTGTCAGGCAACTCAAATTTTTCACTGCTCTGCATGTGCACATGTCTGTGAATAACTGCAAAAGCTCCTTAAGTGCTAATTTTGGCATTACAAATAAATTTTAGCAAGTAGGTGAATTCACAAATAGAGAAATCCATAAATAATGAGGACTGGTTTTATATATACACACACACTCTTATCACCTTCTCTGATAGCTTCCCCTTTCTTAAAAAGTAGCAGACCATATACACTTTTCTCCACCTTGCTTTTTTCACTTAATATACTAAAGATTTCTCTATGGTAGTACACATAAATTCCATATTTCTATTTTTCAGTGACATAGTCCTCTATTGAGTGGATGCCCTGTTTTTTCAAATAGTCCTCTTTTGATAGATATTTGACTGTTTCTAGTTTTTTGCTACTAGAAATACTGTTTCAGTAAATAGCTTTGCACATATGTCTTTCTGCATTTTGGGGACAGATTCCTAGAAGTGGAGTTGCTAGGTTAAAGGATGAATGCTCATATAATTTTGCTAGATATTTTACTGTAGATTTTTTCAATGACTATTTCTAACATGACTCAGAAACCAAGTAAGAGTCTCGTAGAAAGGATTGAAATTCTTATACCACATGAGTTTATGAACAGTGTTATTTTTTAAAATAAATTTTGTAATAAAAGGTACTGAATTCATATCGGTAAAACAGTTACGTAAAAAGAATAAGACCAGTCTAGCCAGTTAGCTCAGTTGGTGAGAATACAGTGTTATAACAAGGTCAAAGGTCTGTATCCCCATACCGGCCAGCGCCAAAATAAATCAGTAAATAAAAGAATAAGACCAAAGAAACTAAGTAGAAGAATAAGACCAAACATGCTTTAAGCGTTTTGAATGTTGAAACATTTCACCTTTCTGAGCGAGACTGTTCAACCAAAAGAGCAACTAAAGCTATCATCTTTTCAAGGGCAGCTGGCCTGTATTTTTCTTCTGCCAGAGAGAGTATATCTTCTTCCTCCTCTTCTTCTTCTCCTTCTTCCTCTGATAACACTTCAACTTGAGGCTAAGTGGAACAAAATTTAATTTCAATACAGTATTAGTTTGAAAATCATCAAGAGAACAAAGACCTGTTTCATACAACTATCCAGGGTAGACCGTGGCAGGATCATGTATCATGAGAAACAACCACTCAAAGGTCTAACCCTAACTTAAAATAGTCTAAACCACATTGAGGACAATTTTAGACTAAATTAGCAGAACTGTATAGAACAGTGATCCTCAACAATGACTGTTTACCTTACCTAAAGGGACAAATCCTTTAACAATTATTTTTTCTTGTAAGCAAGCCCCTTGGAAGATAAATCAAGATAAAAAATTATGAGTATGATAAAATAATATTTCAGAGTTAATAAAAATGCCAGTTTGCAGAAAAGAAGAAATCCTTATTTGAAGTTTCCAGATAATCCAAACAGATATTTCAAAAAGATATTCATTTGGGCTTTGAAATGCAAGAGACTGAAAGGATTTTATCATCTAACAAAGCAAAAGAAGAAGAGTTGAAACAGGTAGCCATATAGTCTGGAATTAAATAATCCCAGTCCATATTCTTCAAAGCATTACAGCATAGTAGTTAAGAGACTTAATTCGGTAGTCTGAGTTAAGGATCAAAGCCTAACTCACTGCAATCTAAAACAAATTAACTTCTCTAAGCCTCAAATACCTCATCTGTAAAAAGGAGATAAAAATAGTACTTCTCTCTTAGTGTTAAGGATTAAATATGTGTGCAAATAGATCACGCAATCGAATGTGGCTGTTACAGGCAATACAAAATTCATAGAATACTTTAATATTAATATACCACCTACTTAAATTCCTGGAAGACTCTGACAAACTTAACAGCAAAGGGCTTAAAAAATGAATGCCCAAAATGTTCACCAAAACAGACTGTTGATAAGACCCCAAAAGTAGATGGTGGCTAATTTGTCAAAATTCATTTGCTTTGTTCCAGGGCCTTAACAGTGGAATTTATTACTTGATTATTCTTTCTCTTGCTATATATATTAAAATTCCATTAAAAAGATCAATTAATCTTACATGCTTAATATTATCTAATATGAGGGCTGGAAGGGACTTTAAAAGGTTCTAAAATCTCATGACTCTGCATTATGCAAACTACTGAACACATGGCCTCCTAATCCCTGAAATAAGATAGAATTTTACTCACATTTTCAGGTCCTTTGGTTCCCATGTAAAAATGTACCATTGTAGATATGGCTTGCAATGAAAGCAAAAACTGGCTCTAAAAAATTGATTTAAAAATATAAAATAAAACAATTAAGTTCTAAAATACTGAAAATTGGTATATAATCCAAAAAATAAAATATAGCCTCACCTCTTCTTCACCCATTTTGGCAAATTCATAAAGGAAGGCAAAATACTCGGTAAGATGTTTACTGTGAGGTTTTACACCATGTTCCATAATTAATAACAGAGTTCTCACAAATCGAGTGACACATGAACGACCGCCAATATCTTCTACTGAGGCATCCATATCATCTGACCTAAAAAGACAAATATATTTTAGAGACCATATAGAGAGAATGGGGCTAAATATTGTTTGGGAGGAAAATATTTTTAAAACCCTAAATTTAGCTCTTTTATCTTTGTAATAATGAATATCAATTACAATAAAATAGGTAGCTGGATTCCAATTACTGTGACTAAATCATTCCAAACAAAAAGACCATGCCATAAAGTCCTTTGTAGAGGATTCTGCAGATGCACTCAATTAAAAGTAAAATAAAGGGCTGGCCAGTTAGCTCACTTGAGAGAGTGTGGTGATGATAACACCAAAGTCAAGAGTTCAGATCCCCATACCAGTAAGCCATCAAAAATAAATAAATTGAAATTAAAAAATAGTTTCCCTTCTTTTGGGGGGGCAGTGGAGGGGGAAGCTGACCACTGGGGGAAGTAAGTGGAGGGGGAAGTAAGGGGATGTGAACCTGTGACCTTAGTGTTATAAGGCTGTGCCCTGACCACCTCAGCCTACCAGCCAGCCCTGTTTTCTCTTCTTGACTTTCATTATTACAGTCTCTTCTTGACTTACATCATTACAGATTTTTTTAAAAAAACAGAAAAACCTAAATATTTCAGTGTGAATATTTAAAAATATTTTGTAGGCAGATCATCAAAAAACTTAAAAATTAGATGTTCCAAAAGTATTTCTTACCCATCTTCCATTCCTGGCTGCAGATACAGATGAGCATGCACAGGTCTCAGCCTCTGAATCACATGGATACACAAACGCTGAAACATCTGTAAAAGAAAAGACAACAATCCGAAAGCCAACTTACATCAGGTAACAAAGATATTGAAAAATTAACACGACACAAAATTCTCTGCCACCAATTTATATTTTTCCCAGATTATCTTTTGACATTCTAAAGCTTCCCTGGAGTCTCAACTACAGACTGAAGACATGAAGCAATGAGCATGAAAAACAACATTCAGTTTCATGACTTGGGAAAAAAACCCAACAAACTGTAGGTTTCAGTGTTAACACAGATTACCAAAAACAAAGCTTCACAAAACTCTCTTAGCTAGTAGAAATGTAGAGAAAAGAAAATTCAGCATCTATCTTCTTCAGAAGAATAGAATGGGGCAGGGCAGCTGCTTATCAGAGGGTCAATGGCTAGAAGAAAATATGATTTAAGTTTATTCGAAAGAAACATGGATTAAAATGACCAGGGATTCTCTAAAGATGACATAAAGTGAGCTACAAGCACATGAAAGGATGTGCAATATCATTAGTTATTAAGGAAATGCAAACTGAAACCATGAGATAGCACTTCATATCTACTAGGATGGCTAAAATGAAAAAGACAAGAGTTGAAGAAGATATGGTAAAATGGGAACCCTCATCATTGGGGGTAATGTAAAATGGTGCAGTCCCAGTGAAAAACAGTTTGGCAGTCCTAAAAACGTTAAACATAAGAGTGATCACATTGCCCAGCAATTCCACTACTAAGTATATAACCATAAGAAATTAAAACGTACATCTAAACAAAAACTTATAAATGAAGGCTCAGAGCGGCATTATTCAAAATAGCCAAAAAGAAGACACATCTCAAATGTTCATCAACTGATGAACAGATGAACAAAATATGGTATATCCATTATTTGGCAAAGAAAGGAAGTGAAGTATGAATACATGCTATAACACAGACAGACCCTGAAAAAACTGTTAAATAAAAGCAGCAAGTCACAAAAGACCACACACTATATGATTCCATTTATATGAAATGGTCAAAATAGGCAAATCCACAGACAGAAGGTAAATCAGTAGTTGTCAGGGGTTGAGGAGAAGGAAGAGGATAAAAATGGGGAGTGACTGCTAATGGGTATGGGATTTCTTTTTGGGGTGAAGAATATTTTAAAATTAGATAATGATGATGGTTGCACAACTCTGTGAATATATTAAAAACTGCTAAATTTTACACTTTGAAAAGTTTGTATGAATTTTATGGTGTAAGAATCATATCTCCATAACTACTGGAAAGTGGCATAATTCAGATTAAGTTTTTGGTTTTGTCTTGTGACTATAAAGTAATATTTACATTTTCCTTATCTAATTTTTCCAATGATTTAAGAAAACAAACTGATTCATGTGACAGTTTAGACCCTGTCATAGATATGAGTTACATCCTACTCATTTAACTTTCTAGGCCATTACAGTTCTCTACCATGGTTAGAACATCTAAGGATTTGAAAAAGAATCAATATAACTCATAAAGCATTCAGAGTAGAATCTGAAAGAATAGGAAGCCTATCTTCCTATGAGTAATGTGCATAATTTTAATCCCTCGATGGAGAAAACAATAGCAAAATGACTTTTCTGGTAAGAGGGAGATATTGTCAAACTATTTTCAAAGCTAGGTTAAGACATATTTGCAAGCAAATTTAAAATAATTAAATTGAAAGCCACTTCTTTTTTCAAATACGTTTTTCCTTACCTGTCTCACAATTTGATTAGGGCACTTAATTAATATCTGCATTGGCCACCAATCATCATCAGCCATGCGGTCTAAAAACCACTGTAAGAAAATAGAGCATGATTTTAACACTCAACCAATATTTATTAAACAGGACAAAAATTGTAAGGATTTTACTTATAGATGATATTTCAATTATTTTAAGTTCTTACCAAAAAACTTCTCTAATTGTTAGAAAGTCTAAAATCTTAAATCATAATAAGGGCTACCTCATTATAAAAGTCCTTGGCTGCCATTTACATCACGGTACACTACCTGCATCATGGCAACCTAAGGTCTTTAACATAAATAAAATGGAATAGCATTTTCCTCTTGGTCCTCATAAATTTCACACTGTAGAAACTTTTGTTCCTATTAATAATATGAGTATGATTCATTTTCTTTCTGTTTAAAAACAAATTATGAGCTAATCAACCCTCTCGATCTATCAAATAGCCACAAGGTGGGAGGGGAATAGAGGAACATGTTAAGTAACACGAGGAAGATGCAACCAGTCAAAGACATAAAGAATATGGAAAATCCTGCAGAACAAATGACACAAAACAGCATGGAGGAAAAAAAGAAAGTAACAACTACAGATGAAAGATTTAAGAGATAAACAAATGCAAAATGTGAACCTTGTCTGAACAGTAACTTAAAACAAACCAACTGAAAAAAACATTTTTGAGATAATTAGAAAAAACTGAACACAGACTGGGTTTTAGGTGACATGGAATAATTTCTAATTTTACTAAGAATGAATGAAATTGTGGTTATAGATATACTTTTTGTTTTCTGACAGCTGGCCAGTAAGGGATCTTAACTCTTCACCTTGGTATTATCAGTACCATGCTCTAACCTAGTGAGCTAACCAGCTGGCCCTTTAAAAATATATACTTTTTAACAATTCTCATCTGTCAGAGATATATATACTGAGCGTTTATGGATGCATATGGGTTTCTGGGTTTGCTTAAAAATACTTCAACTGGGAAAAAAAAAGGAATGGAGGGTAGGAATAGATGAAACAAGAATGAAAGAATTAATACTAATTAACAATATTATTTGTCAAAGCTGGGTAATAGGTATATGAGAATTCTTTAAACCATTCTACTTTTAGGGCTGGCCAGTTAGCTCAGTTGGTTAGAGTGCAGTGTTATAACACCAAGGTCAAGGGTTCAGATCCTCACACCAGCCAAAAAAAAAGCAACCAACACACACAACAAAAACCTTTCTACTTTTATGCTATTCCCAAATTTTCATTATAATGTTTTTAAAAAGTTACACCTTTGTGCTTGAAATTTCCAATGACCACATTCTTTTATTCCATTGCTAAAAGGTATAATTAGATGACCTTCTTAATTTCATCTATTGCACACTATACTATCTCCCGCCTCTAGAAATTCATACGACATGCATTCCTAGAGAGGATTATACCTCTTTGGTTGCTAATCAAAAATTATAAATGATATTAAGATGGCAATATGATTAAGTTGTCATTACTTTTGAGAAGCTTATTCTTAGGGATGCATCTCTCTTAAAATGAAGGGAGATAAACTGATCTATTGGGATATGTGGATTTTTTTTTGAGGGGGAGAAAAGATAGCTGTTTTAAAGTATTTTCAAGTAACATTCAAAAGTCCTTAAGACAGGAGTCGGGGAGATGAGGAGATATTGGGCAAAATGTACAAAGTTTGTGTTATAAGATGAATACATTCTGGGCATCTTATATACAGTATTGTGACTATAGTTAATAATACTGTACTGTTCACTTGATTTCTAAGAAAGTAGATCCTAAATGTCCTCACCACTCACACACACACACACACACACACACACACACACACACACACACACACACACACACAAAGTGGTAACACATGTGTTAATCTGACTGTGGTAATCATTCCACAATGTATATGTAAATCAATTCATTACATTGCACAGATTGACTATATACAATTTTCACTTATCAATTATACCTCAATAAAGCTGGAAAAACAAAAACAAAACAAAAGTAGTTAAAAATATCTGGAAGAGCCTTTTAACTTTTCTGTACTTTTTCCTTCCATTACATGAGGGGAGGAAAAACCCAAAGATTTCAAAATAACTTGATTATTTAATCAGTGTAATGGTTTTGATACCTAAATTATAATTTTCCAGGTTATCAAATGATTTTAGAAACAAGTTACACTGGGTTCCCTATAATTTATAATAGATAAAACAATTTTGCTGTGGCATCTCAGCTAAGAATAAAAGAAAAACAAAATAAACAATCTTAAGCTATGCATTGTTTGTTGAATTATTCACCTCACAAGCTGCTTGACTATTATTAAATTGTTTAGTCAACAGTTCAATCCACTGAAGCATTGTGGGCTAAAAAAGAAAAAGAGAGAAGTCAGTCAAGGCACAAGGACTTTTGAGCCAAAGATAATAGCACAGATAACAAAAGATTTCTGATAAAAATAACAAACAGAAAAACCCACAAAAAATCCCCACATACCTTTTCTTTTGAATGAATAAATGTCTCTAGAACAAAGGAAGTACTTAACTGTAAGAAAAGATAAAATCAAGCAAAAAAGACTTAATTATTTTAAAGTAATAAATTTTGACAAAATTATCTAAAGTTTATTTATTACCTTTGCTGTCATTAGGGACACAGCTTTAGGATCTGGTAATGTACTGGGAATACAACTACACAACTGCCACATAAACCTAGAATTAAAAAAAAAAAATTATTCTAACAAGATTTTTTTTAAATGTGTGAAAAAAAATCTACTAAATTTACCACACTTACCCAAAATATGTATGTTCAAATATATTTTTGTCTTGAAGAAACTGCATGTTATCATGCCAAATCCACTGAAGAAAAAAATGTTAACATTAAATATCAGAAAGCAGTTTACTTCATTACATTTTACCAAATATTTTTAACAGACCAAAAAAAGACATGCTCTAAAAAACCATAAAAGAAAGAAACAAAAAATATATGTACTTAAAATTCATGCTGATTTTTTCCCAGGTATATGGAATAGAAAAGTAGTTATTAAACCTACTTTAATTTTATCATTACTTATCTGGCTACCTCAAGGGATTGTGGGTTTTTAAATGTATTTATAAAGATTTTAAAAGAATTCTGAAATCCTATCTGTCTGAAGAGCAAGTATACAAATGAATAAAACATAAGTCATGTTGCATTTTGATAAGAACAGGTTATAAAAGAAAGTTTTATGTTTAAAAGTTGGCAAAATAAAAAAATTTAATTCAGGTTGGTGGACCTAAATGAGGTGATTTCTCTTTTTACTCTATAAAAATCACAAAAAATGATTATTTGTGGCATTAGGCCTGTAGGATCACACTGCTGTTTTTGTGTTCCTTCACCTCTCTGAATACCCTAAACATGTTTTAAGTCTTTTGTCAGACAGTTCCATAAAATTATTTTTACCTAGAACAAATTTATGTTCCCATTACTGACAGTACCAGCTGTCTTTCTTAGCATTACACTTCTGTGTGTGTTTTGGAATTTAGATAGCAGGTTCATTTTGAGCTGAAGGTTCCAACCCTATCTTTAATCTTTTTTTTTTTTTAATTGTAACATAGTTGATTGTACATATCTGTGGGGTACAGAGTTACATATCAATACCTATGTGCAATATGTGATGCTCAAGTCAGGATAATTAGTATATTCAACATTATACAATGTGATCATTTTTCATGACCCTTTACTAATTCCTCCCTTACTTTTCCCGTTTAATCTTCAATAAAGATTTTCAACTACCTATACTTGCCTCCACAGCTCACTACACTACTCTGGAAACAGTGATATTTGGGAAATCACAGACCTAGGCACCAAATGCGGAAGCTGTTAAGAATCCAGCTATTAAACTAGCTATTAAAGAGATTTACAAAAATGTAAAACAGGACTACTTTTCTCACCAAATTGTTTTGTTTGGAAAATATGTATTATTTACAAAATGTTATTTATGGTAGCATGTAATGGGTTTGTTATTTTTAAACGAACAGAAGTTTTAAGAATCTGTTTTCATTTCTAATAACATTAAACACTGATATATATAACTATATTAAGAACCACATTAAAAAGAAAACAGTACTCTTCAAGGTCCTCAATAATTTTTAAGAATATAAAGGAGTCCAATAAGTTTGTCCAATATAAAGAAGGACAAATAAGTTTGAGAAATACTGATGTAAATAAGCAACATACATCATAATAATAAGATTTTATTTAAAATTTCATTTTACTTCACAAGTGAGCTGGTTGTCATTAAATTTGTTGGGTCCTCATAGAGCAAGGTCTAAATTTGTCTAATACTTTGAGGGCACAAAGACTTGCACATGTGGTGATTATAGTCTCTTTAATTGTGGTTATGATGGTGGTTGAAATAAGTTTTTGTATAAATGGGTGAGTTTAATAATGGCTTCACTTCAAATACAGTGAAGCCATCTATAATCAATAGTATCTAATTCTGCTGGTAAATCCAATTTGAGGGGTTGAGAAAAGATAATATTCTTGGCTTCTTACCAGTAACAAATGGGTAGGCAAGATACCAGTTAAAAGTATTTACAGAAAAAAATGGCTGAACTGTCTAGATGGAAGAATATATTTTTACCATGTAATCCTTTCTGGAGAAGTTTTACTTTTTGTACTTTGGCTGACTGAGTATACAACATTGACACGACACACATTGAATTAGATACTCAACAATGTACATTACTACAAATGAGACACCTTTTATTTTTTTAATATATAAACATTTTTAATGCATTTCAAATACAGTGTATGCTTGAGTGTGTGTGTCTCTATCATGAAGTTTAACAGAAGGAACACCTGCAAAACTATCATCCAATTTAAGAGGCAGGACATTACTAACCACACAAAAGCTTATCCTGATTCCATCAACCCTTTCACTTTTCTTATTTTTCTTCACTTTTACTGAGAATTATTTTCCACACCCTTTAATCTCATTCATTTTTCACTCGCCCATCTTACATAAGTGTTAACAAGACTATTTGTAAGTACTCTTGAGGACTACGGACTATAATTATTTTCCACACCCTTTAATCTCATTCATTTTTCATTCGCCCATCTTACATAAGTGTTAACAAGACTATTTGTAAGTACTCTTGAGGACTACGGACTACTTTGGATTACAGATCTTAATGTTTACAGCCTGCTCTCTCTCTCTCTCTCTCTCTCTCTCTCTCTCTCTCTCTCTCTATATATATATAAATAATAATATATATATATATATAAATAATATATTTTTAAAATTTTACTTATAGTATCCCTTGCAAAAATATTTACTCTCTCTCTCTCTATATATATATAAATAATATATTTTTAAAATTTTACTTATAGTATCCCTTGCAAAAATATTTATACTTTTAAACTATTGCTCAAGTCAAATTAACTTATACCTCTAGTAACTCTGATGAAACATCAAATTTGTATTCTCTGCCATTTTCTTCCTCTGGTTCCATGCGTTTGTAAAACAGCATATATGCACTGTGTGTCTTTAAGAAGCAAAAAAAAAGTATATTTTCATTTTGAAAAGGTATAACTTTAAAAATAGACAATATAGAAGAAAGAAACAGTATAAAATTATGTATGAAAGAATTGGTTACCTTTTCAAAGGAGAAATCCATAAATTTATCTGTAACAGAGTCATAGGTCTTGGTCTGTTTAAAAAACAAATGTTTACCTTCTTTAAAAAAATGGGTATACTCAGCTATATTTATATGTTATCTCATATACAACTATTTTATACTTCACAGTAACTTTGTAAATAGTTTTCAAATAACACTACTTCACATATTCTACATACTCCACAAATTTACCTAATGTATCCTAATATCACACTTGGTATATTATTTTTTAGACAGAAAATTTAATACTATAAAACTGAATCTGAGAAAATTGTACTATAACAACAACAACAACAAAAATGAAGAAGGTGTGGCAAGGCAATATATGGCGTGGTTCTAATATTTGTATATGTGGTAAGTGCAAATAAAAACTAAATTTAAACAACATTTTCAGCAACATTATGAATAAGAAAAGCAGATTATTAGAATATATTGCATAGGCATAAAGCTGCACTTTATTTTGAGATCTCAAAATACTATCCGTATGTACCTCTACCGATCCTTCAAAAACAAAATTTTGAGCCTCAAATCTGTAAGTAACTTTTTGCAGATGAAATGGACTTGTTGGTATATGTATTAAGAAATGCAACTGATGGATGACAGAAAAGAAGTATCAGAAAAAGGCAACAGTCAACCAAAGACATCTCAAAAGAAACAATGGAAAAGAATGCAAAAGAGGAGAGAGACCTTGAAGGCATGGGAAACAATCTGAGAGTAAAAATCTAAGAGTGAAATAAGAGAAGAAAGACAATAAGACAAAGGGAGGTTGTACAAAGGATGCTACAGAGGTTACTGGACTTGTGGAATATGAGCAGAGTTCAGTGGCAGGGCATCTGAGAACTTCAGGACTACAATCCTAATGAGTATGGAGATGAAGATTCTAATGGTAATTCTTGAAAACTCCACGTATATTGTCACAGAAAAGATGGGGGGGAAAAAACCACAAAACCCAGGGCAAGTAGACAAGCAGAATTATGGGCAATGTAATAGAGATGGAGGCAGAAGCTTTTGAAAACTAAGATTCAAAACACTTTTTCCCAAGGTACTTTACCATAAAATACATAGAAGAATAAGAAAATAAAGTGGACCAGCAATATGAAAAACTAACTTTTAAGACAGGATCTTTGCAAAATTTGTTTTTCTTCTTTCAATTTTTTTTTAAAGGAAATGTCCTAGAAATAACATCTAGAGCTGTAAGTGGTTTAGTGATGGTTTAAATGGTAACTAAATATTTACTCCCCTCTTCTACCCATTTCTAAATTGTTAGCAATTGCACTACTTTTCCTTTCTATTCAGAATAACAGACAAGAGCACCAAGAAGTAATAAGGAAGCCCTTCAATAACATCCAGAATTCAGTTATTTCACAAATAAATATGAGAATTAAATAAAAAAACTTTATCTGCCCTTGTCTGTGCAATGGACATGACCAATACTGGACTTTTGAGAATCAACAGGGTATTTTAAAATAGTTTTCAGAAAATTAGTACTAGGATAACTGCCTATGGAGATGTGAAATTATTACAATAATATTCCAACTTTGTCTTTTTTTAAAATGTTCTATTGTCAATTATATAATAGGGATGATTTTTTTAAGGTTTTAACCAGGTTGCTGCTGCTGTTACAAAAAGCACTAAAGAAATAATTTTTTAAATTTCAGCTTAAGTCAACTTCCCTGTCAAAGATTTTTCAGATTGTCAGTAGTTTCTTTTTGCTCTAACCCCACAGAATTCACTGAGTAAACTCTTTATCCAATCGTAATTCTCACAGCACTTTCATTCAATTCCTGTACTATTATTTAGCTTTTGGTTATAAGTCTTACCTTCTTAAGCAGACTGTTGTTAAAGGCAGAAACAATAATTTTTTAATATTTCCCAGTGTCTAATGTATACTTTAAACATACTAAACTTCCAATAAATAACAATTAAATAAATAAATTTTAGATTTAACCATAGCAATTAAAAGAAAGTTAAGTGATGACTCTGCCATTGAATTTTATGTACGACAAAGCATTGGGAAAGTCACAAACCATTTATGATTTTTAAATAAAACTTACCGTCATCTCTCCACCAAAACATTCAGAGGCAAGCTGAGCAGAATCGAAAGGTTTTACCTCAGCATCATTAAAAAGATACCTAAAATAGAGCATATATTACTGATAAGCATGTATGTACTACTAAATATTCATATGTTTACTATTTTTAAAATATCTGGATTACATACCAATATGCTGCAAATGTAGATCAAATTATTATTTCATAACATTAATTCTAAATTCTTGTTTTTACAGCTCCAATCTACTAGAAATTAGTAATATAATTTATAACAACTGCAACCACCTTGAAATCTGACAGATACATCTACAACCTAGGATTAACAAGACAGTTCATAAAAATGATGAATAAAAACTTTGCTTAAATATAACATGTAAAACTATCAGACAAGAAAGATTAAGAGATATGAAAACTTCCAAAGCTTAAAAACACCATTTCAAAATTTATAATCATTCAAATCCCCGTGCTGTCCAGCCACAAATGAAAAAAAAAAAAAAAGAAAATAGAAAATAGAAAAAAAAATAATAATTAAAAAAAGATCCAAAATATACTTACAGAAATATATTCAAATAGATTTTTTTAAAAAAGTAAAAGACACCATGGACATGATGGCTGGAGTGAGAAATAGCTGAATGAAACTATCCCGCTAACCATAAATTCACGAACAATCGTACATTTTGTTCAAAGCAATATCCCCAACCCTTACAACAGTGCCCAGCACACATATACTCCCTATAACACAAAACCCTACCCTAACAACATTTGAAGACCAAAAAACAGCTACTAGGGACTGATTTAATGACTTACAACTGTTGATTTGACAAAAAGAAGTGTGTGGGGGAGGGAAAAGGTAAGGTGAACAGGGAGCAGCATGCAGGTGATTTCTAACTGGTATATATAAGGAATTTCTGGCCACCCTATAGAAAGCATACATCAGTAAACAGCTCTTGAATGAATGAACAGATAAGAGTTGGGAGGCACAATGTTGACAATGAATCTCCTGAAGTTGTGTGCAGAACTGTGTGTGTTCGTTTTTCTGAGAAAAGCATTCATTAAATTCTCAACAGGTCAGAGATACAAGTTTAAGAGCAACTGATTCATACTGTCTTTTGAAAGTCACCTTCACTTAAAAATTTTGCCTGCCTCTTTTCCTAATTTTATAATTGAAAATGTATCTGAAAAGAAAACACCATAAACTTATATCTTAGAATAAGAAGGTTTTTAAAAATCCCAAGGAAAAAATGTTTAAAACTTACCACTTATTGTTTTTATAAGCATGTGGATTGACTATATCTCTGATGAAGCTATAATAGTGTCCACCATCTGCCGTTCCTGTGTGAACAGTCACTCCTATCAAGTCATACTCATAGCTCTCTGTGTCTTTGGAATGATCGCCGACTTCCTTAAAACCTGAAATAATTTACATAAAATAATAGCAATACTTCTGAAAACTCCACAGGGATATCTTAGAATCACTTTTTATAATATACTTTATGTACAGAAATAGGCACAGATATTTTATATATTAAATAAGTACAAGATAACTATTTGCTAGTCATTCACCATCCATAGCCTACTAATCAAATCACTGGAAAAACAACCACGTGTTAGTACATAATTACAAACAACTTCAATACAATATAAAAATATAAAATATCTCTTCAATTTGACTAGTCTTTTGAAATAGATAGCACAAAGTGCTTCATTCAATTTTATGTTTACTAGGAGCAGGCAAACACAAGACATGAAAAGGCATTAGTATATTTCTGTCTTTGAGTCTCATGTTAAGAAAAATGGAGCATTATATCAGTAGCATGAATGTACATCAATTAATAGAAAACACTATTAGGAACTTGGCGTAGATAGAAACAAAATAAATAAAAGATACAATTCTCATTCCCAACGATTTAAAATGTAAAGATAACAAAAGATACTAAGGAAAAAAACTACAGAATGGTCTAATAAGTTTGAAGATTTATGATTTATGATCTGTATTTCCACCACCACGTAAAAGGAAAAAGTAGAATCAGCAGTAAGGAAGCAAAAGCAAATCTGGTTAACTTCAGTGCACAGTCTAAACAGGAAAGTGAGGTGACAATTAGGTGAAGAGGAAGAAATGTCTGTGTCAAAGGAGTGGCTAAGGAGTGTGGATGTGCTTATGCACACAGTGCTTAAATTAAACGCATCACTTGTAGCCTAACAAATCCTTATATCTTGGCATAAATTTCTGCTACCTCCACACATGGAAGCATCATGGAAAACACAATGAAGCACTGCCACTGGGAAGTCCTGCTATAATTTTCCAAATGGTTTAAGAGGTCTAAAAAGTAGGATGTATATATACAATGCCCACTTCTTAACTTCACCTGTATTTTCAAACTTATCATGTTTACTGGACCATTTCCTGCAACTTATATTCAAATCCTAACTATAAAAATTCCCTCCCTTAACTCCTTATTCCTTCAGAGCTAAAGTCATCAGCTTATCTCCTCTCTTCAAAGAAAGAGTATGTTCTTCTCTTGAAAGAATAGCCTACACTCATTGTTTACACTTCTCATCTCTCATTTAGTGAGAGTAAAACATTTAATGGATACTCATTAAGTGCCAGGCACTGGAGTTAAAGAGTAAAACATGGTTCTCTTTCCTTAAGTTCAGCGCATAGTATATTAACAGCAGAACTCTTTATATTGCCAGGACCCTTATTATGTAAAATGGAATATCTCACTAAAGAAGAATAGAAGAGGCAAGAGCCAGGCCCTTTCTACTTTCTTCTCTCACCTACTGTATTTCCATTCCTCAACACTGTGGTCCTTGAGGCACATATCCAGAAGTTAGAAAACCACTGGTCTTAAGGAAGTAACAATTTGGAGGTATCTACTTATGAACCAAGTGCCATCTTTAACTCACTGCAATCTGCCTTTCTTCCTATTGCAACACCCAGACGAAACTGCTCTAATAAAGATAACCAAAGATTATTCTCATTCTCATTCTTACTGGAACTGTTTCTTCTCTTTAACATTCAATATTTATAACTAGACTCCCTCTTTCTTGAGACATTCTTGAATTACTGACCCCACTACTCATTCACCCAGCTGCTCAAGCCAGAAAACTGAGTCATTCTTGACTTCTCTCTCAGTAGACAAAGTAAAATGTAAGCTTCATGGAAGTAGGGATCTTGTTCATTGTCATTGTATTCCTAGTATTACAGAACAGCATAAGTTACCTACTGGATAGATGTTCAGTAACTTTCTATTGGATTCATTATTCATTCAATCAAGTCTTATTAACTCCATGTACTTCTCCCCATCCCTACTGGTACTCTTTCTCATCTATGCTACCATCTTTTCTGTGGTTTACAAGAATGGTCTCCCCAAACCCCTTTCATCATCCTCTAATACATTTCTAATGCTGTAGTACTCAGTATAACCTTTCCCAAAAGCCAGTCTAGTTATGTCAGCTCCCTGTTTAAAACCTTTTAATGGTCACACATTGAATAAAAATTAAAATTATTAACATGGCCTATAAACAAAAAATGTTTTTGGCCACTGCTTTTTGCCTATCTCATTAACTAACACCCACATCCCTACTCCAATCCTCCCACCCCAGAGCTCATCCCTTCTTCTCAATCTAATTCCTACTCAAGTTTCATTATTTCTGCTTAAATGTCACCTTCTCATGAAGGCCCTGATGCCACTGCACCCCAAGATATATTTACTGTCCTACCTGACATATCATACTTGTAATTTCTTGTTCAATATGACTTACTGAACTAGACTTAAGTGACCCTGTTTTATCTTGTTCACCACTGTCTCCAATGCCTTGAACAGTACCTAGAACACTGTCCTAGTAGATATTAAATATTTATTGGTAAACTGACTGAATGTGCCACCATGTCTTTAAACATATTCTTCTAAGACTCGATTTAATATTAACTGTGTAGTTGATGATAACTTTATAATTATGACTACCTTGTTATGGAGACTTACAATAAACAGACAAAAGAGACGAAAAGTTACCTTCTTTCCTATCATTCTTTCCCATAAGAAAATCTTCTGTATACGGTGTCATATCCAAACGTAATGGGAAGGAAAAGTGTGTATTCACTTTCTCTTTCATCATTGTGACCATATTAAATGTATACCTCATGGTATTGAAACTCAAAATGCGAGGCAATTTCTTAAAACATGCCCTGAAAGACAAAAAAAAAGTGTTAAAAACTATCTTCTGATAATACTTTAGTTGGTTTCATATACATTTAGGCTACACCTATTTCAATATTCAACTAAGTTGTAAATAAGTAGCATTCTAAATCACACTCTTATTAAAACTATATACATATATATAGTGTAAATATATATCTCCCTCTTACAAATGACTTTTTCCATTCTGAAAGGGCTTTCCTGTATCTAGATAAGAAAAATAAAAAATTAGTAGACTGTAGTAAATACCATGACAAAGATAAAGATGTAAAGGGTGTTACGGAAGTATGAAAAGGAGCCATGTCATACCATAGTGCCAAGAAGGTCTTTGGTTCAATTTTCTTTTCCTTCTTAAATAACAGGGACTGAAGTATTTTTGTGAATTAGAATCACAATCTGGCTGTATCTCTTACTAGACGTATGACCCTAAACAAGTTACTTGATCTCTCTGAGTTTAATTCTTGACTTGTAAAATGGAGATTAAAATACCTACCCCATACTACTTTTGAAATGCTGCCTAAAAAATAGCATTCAATGTGTCACCTGCTATTACTGCAACAATAGCAGCAGCAGCAAATCAAGTGGTCAATTAAATTTACAGTATAACATATTACTACCTCAAGTTAAAGAAATCTCAGTTTAAACAAACAACAATATATACATATATACAAACTTAGATTTATGAAAATATGAATTCCAGAGAATAATTCTTAACTGTACATAGGATAAAAAGAGAATTTGTTTAAACCTAGAGCTCGGTTTGAAAAAAAAAATAATAGGAATTTAAGGAGACAAAGAATGAGGGAGAAAATGTTACAAAAGCAGAGGGAATAAGAAGACAGAGAAAACCAGAGGTTTGAAGACAACAGAATATAACCCTGTTGAGGATCATAAACACTTTGTTGTCTTCTTCAGTTGGCCTATTTCTGTTGAACACTTACTATGTTATTACAGATATATAAAAGTATGGTAAGAGCACAAAGTACTCAATAACTACTTTGCCTGGGAGAGATGAGACACATATTTAAGAAAAACAGAAGAATCTTATTAGACAAAAGAAGGGAATGTTTCAAGCAGTAGGGGGTTATCAAGAATGATAGATTTTGGCTGGCGAGTTACATCACTTGGTTAGAGCACAGTGCTGATAACACCAAGGTCAAGGATTGGGATACCAGCCAGCCACCAGCAACAAAGAATGACAGATTTATTCAATAAGTTTAATTATCTCAACTAGAAGGAGATTCCCCAAAGAAATTGACTCAACCCCTCAATTTTCTTTTAGTGACTCATTACATCCCTCTATAGTAGCTAACTGTTGACTGATTCCATTTTGTGTAAGTCCCTAACTCTAACCTTAACCCAATTCTCATCAGATGAGTTTGTCTTCTTTCTATAATTGCCTGCACAGCTATGCTTTCATATGATTATGTCCACCTGCAACTTTTCTCACTCTTGCAACCAATTTGACTTGAGTAAAATATCATTCTTTTCAAATGCATACTGACCTAGAAAAACCTTCTCTTAAGCAATTTTAATATCTTATTATATGATGGTTTTTCATTCTCTGCCTTCAAACATGCTCAGATCTCTTTCATCTAGAAAAATCCTTTGTTTGATCCCAAGGCTTTTTATACAGCTTCCATCTTCCTTGTTTTTTATTACCAAACTTTTAAAATGAATAGCCTATACTTGATGCCTTGTTCCCTGACAACACTGCTTCAAGTCATACAACCTGACAAAACATACTACTAAACTACCTTCTTGAAAAATCCAACACTTTTATTCAGCTGTCACTTTCTTTCGCCTCTGTAAACTATGTCCATTGAATACCCTCTTCTTGAGCTTCTCTTCCCAGTTTCTGGGTAAACCATCCTATCCCAATTTTCTTTCTTTCCTTGCCTCTCTTCTGTTGCTTTTTCCTCTGCACTTCTAGGTTAACTTAGGTCTCAGTCCTTTGCCACAGTTAGATTCTTTCTCAGGCTTCAATTGATCAATTATGCAGATAAACCCCAAACTTGGATGTCAATAATTTGATGCTATCATGTTACCAGTCTTATTTTCCATTATTGGTTGATGTAAATCTTCTACTTCATGCAGGCTTTCTAATTTGAGATTTCTTGCACATACAAGGTCATTTCTATTTTTCTGTGTTTGTTATTAGTAACTAACTACATAAGATGCTCTTTAATTCAATTTTTACTTGTCATTTAATGTTTACCTGAAAACTTTACCCAACTACTCTGTCCTAAACCTGCCATCTTATGGCTCTTAGGAACCTCGCACCATGTAACACCGGAGTCAAGGGTTAGGATCCCCATACTGGCGAGCCACCAAAAAAAAAAAAAAGAACCTCTCTATGGATGTCTTTGGTTCCTGAATGGACTCTTTACATACTTCACTGAGTGCAGAGTAGGGTGGTAAACAATCAGAAAGACTTTGGTAAATATTTGATTAATTAAAAGATCCCTCCTACCCCCCCCAAAATCTGAAAAAATGTAAAGGTGCTTGAAAATATACTAAAAAACTTTTATTATCCACTAATCTAGATAATTTTTTTATCCTTAAGAATATTCTTTGAAAACAGGACGAGTATTTCAGAGATTAAAGAAAAAATCAGTGTGAATGTGAATCATGAAACAATAATAAACAAACAAAAAAAGATTGTAAAATACCTATCATGCACTACTAAAGTAAGCAAAGCAACTTTTATTTGAAGATAGCTAAACTACTATTTTTCAAGAAATTCTCTAAAAAATTTAAACTGAGGAAGTGTATTTTTAATAAACAAGCCAAAATATAAACCACCAAAAATAACATCAACACACGTAGTGGAAAGGAAAGAAGAACCAATTTGAACACTTACACAGCACTCTTTAACTCAGCAATTAACTAACTCAAATCTGACTCAACCCCAGACATCTTTTCAAGCTTCAACCATAAAAGCCAACTGCCTAAAGGACCTTTCTACCCAGACACTCCAAGAAAACTCAAATTCAGTTGGAAATTTGCTTATTTGTACTGCCTATCTTGGGGACCAACATCAGGAAAGTTTCTTTATTCTTCCTGTGCCTCCATGTCTTCACCTGTAAAATGGGGATAATAATAGTATCTACTGCAAAGATATATTGTGAGGATTAACTCAACTAAATCATGTAAAGTTCTGAAGCAGTGCTTGCTAAATAAAAAGTACTATGTAAAGGTTAACTATTATTACCAAAGAACAACTCACTAAAGCCAGACATCTCAGAGTCAATACAAACAATGATGAAAATTATCACTGCTGTTACCTTCCATGTTTCTGATCCTAAAAACTAAACTTTTTTGCCAGTTTAGTAATTCTTCCTTTCTAGCTCAAGTATATGTCAAAAGAAATTATAATTTGCTGAATAACTTGAATGAAACGTTGCTGCATGAGACTGAGCTCCAAGCACCTTATTTTATACTCATCACATAATTTTCATAAAAGTTTAATCTTCATTTATCCTTAGTTTGTCTTTCACTTCCATTAGATGACTTATCAAAATGATAAAAATTACATTTCAAGAAGCATACCTTTTTTCAGCTCGTACTTTCTTCCCGCAATGAGAACAAGTATACATGTTGTCACCTTCCAAAGTGTCTTTAATAGTAACTTCATCAAGAGATTCCTGCATATAAGACCACATTTAAAAGTTTCACATTATTGATTACAGCATGCAAACATACAAAAAGCAGTAATTATAACTTGGGCAGAATGCACAGAGGAATGCCAATTTTTTTTAAAATGTGAATTCTTTTTTTTTTTTTTTTTTTTCCTTTTTTTCTCGACCGGCAACGGATCACAACCCTCAGTGTCGCGCCCGTACCGGACTGGGACCAGCAATGGGATCGCAACCCTCGGTGTTGCGCCCGCACCTCGCTCAGCCAGTGAGCCGCTGGTCTGTTTGTGGGATTCGAACCCTCGGCGGGAGGGCCGCTGCACTCCCAAGCGGCGCACTGTAGCAGTGCGCCACTGGGCCGGCCCTAAAAATGTGAATTCTTAACTTTAGTAAAAAATTGTTTACCCTCATATTAATAAGATACTCTATGAATCATACTAAATTTTTCAAAGGCCTAGCTAAAGTTTGACTGGGTAAAAATATCCTTGTGGTCTATGTTTAATACTTACTTGAATAGCAAAGCAAGAAAATACATGAAAAAAGTTAATTTCTTAAGATGACAAACATAAACTTGCTGTATATAAACAGTTAAAAGCACAAAAAAATCTAAAAATGATGGACAATATTACTCACATAAATGTTCTTCATATCAGCCACCTGGCACCTCACAGTATAGAACTCTTCAGCAGTTTGACTAACATGTTCACAATCCTGATCAATTAACAGTTAAAAATTAGTAATTTATTTTAATAAAACATATATTAAGATCTCCAAAAAGCAAAAGGCAGGTATAATACTTACCAGGGACACAACATTGTTTGTAATTACACCTCCAAATAAACTTTTGACGGTATTTTTCTTTAATATAAAACAAAAAAAAAGTCAGTCAAATGTAGTTAAAATATAGTCAAATCTGCACAACTTTCAAAGAAACTTTGCAGTGTTCTGGTACTAACCAGTTCTGGAGACATTTCTTCAATTTTGGTAATCAGATCAGTAAAAAATTCTGTCATATCTTTCTGCTCCCCAGTATTCAAAGGCTGCTTATCCATGGTATATGTTTTACAGAAAGGTCTAGGATTATATGCTTTGCATTCACTCTCCTGCGAAGAAAAAGGAGGGGGAAAAAAGTACTAAAAAGTAAGAAAATTGCTACAGGTTCTTAAATAAATGACTAACAACAACAATAAAAAAACAGGCAGTAAATCTACACAGAAAGTTTTAAAATGTTCTCTTCTATTTCATTTTTGTTTGGTTTTTCATGGTTTCAGTTTAATGATCTTGGTGCCAGAAGATGCTTAAATTATCTTAAGACATTTGTATTTTTAAGTCTAGGAATATGTAGCAAGAAATTTGGGACTCAGAGACTCAAACTTTATTGTGAAGCATAAAGTATAAAACCTTTGCAGGTGAAATAAATTTTTCTACAGATTGAACTTTCTTTCGACATTTTTTAAACAGTAGTTTAAAGCAGTAGTTTTCTGTTTGTCAGTTCAAATGGCATGTTCTAGCTATGTTAAAAGGAGATTGAAAATACAGGCAAGGGATGATTGGTAAATCTTCTAATCTTATTATAAAAAAACCATTTATTTGGTCCTAACAAAGTATTAGAAGCTGAAAATACAGGTATAATATGACATAATCCCTGTGCTCAAAACTGTAATAGGTAAGATGGGTTAATTTCAATACAAGAATAGAAACAACAGAGAGGGATGGTGACTTGGAGATACTCTGGTGAGTCTGTGGAATCTATGGTCCCTTAGAGAGGTGAAAACCAAGCTGACTCTTGAAGGATGACGATAAGAGTATATAGTCAGGACGAAGTCAGTATAAATGAACTCCACTGAACATTTTAGCTTTTGTCATAGGATATGTCTAATAGATTTCCCTCCATGATTCTCAAACATACCATTAAATATGTAAACATTTTCTGAAGCTCCAGAAGAGTGGTCTTGTGCTTCATATCTTCTGAGTACTATAAATCCAGAGAAAACTTTCCATTAAAACATACTAATGGGTCATAAATTAGACATTCTAGCAAAGAAAGTCTTGCAATGTGCTTAACACGATCTGTTTTCATTCTTTAAGCTATACATAAGAAAAACACTGACACATTCTATTCTCTCTTTAGCAATTATAGCATTAAAATTTTTGGAATTTTTTTTGTTACATAAATGCATACATCACTACTATCTCAGAAAACTGAATAGAGAGATCTTAAATTGTTTCTAGATCAACACTCATTTGGTGCAATGCTGATTTACAAAAATACAAGAATGAAAAACACTTCAGGTATGCAACAAAGTTGTTTTCTAGAAGCAAATTCATATGTTAAAAATATGTATTTATAACTTCTTAAATGTCACACAGATAGGAAAGGCAAATCCAGGACTAGAGCCCAAGCAGTCTGACCTCAATGAACTTAACCATGCTGCTGCACCAATCAGTGAGCTATAGATTTTGCTTAGGGAGCTCTAGGAAGACTTTGCAGGAAAGATTACATGAGAGACAGACCTTTAATAATAAATAAAATTTATTATGGAACAGAGGAAATGACAGTATGAATGAATGCTAGGCAAAGGTGTGAGAGGAAGTATCTGCAGAAGGATGTGAACAATGCCACATGGTCATGAGTAACAGGAAGACAGGAGGGATTGCCAGGAAGAACACTAGGCAGGAGAGTGGACACCCCTCCCCACCCCCAAATATATATACATAAAACATATATATGTATATTTCAATATTAATAAATGACATCTCATAGTTTTATGTTTACTTTATCTGGAATAGTATATCCTTAATAAAGAGGAATACTTGCCAAAATCTCTGAAAATCACCTAAATATTCAAATATTAATAACTGAGATTCAGGAATCTGGCTAGACTCACTCACTAGAGACAGTCCTGAACTTTATAGGAGAGATCCATATTCATGCCAGGCACTTGTTAAGTATACTCTATCTCATTCAACTATTAAAATAGACCTATAAAGGAGATACTATCCTCATTACAAGTGAGTACCTGTCATAACTTTGAAGCTCTGATAGTTTTGTGGAATGATAAGTTTCCTATATGCCAGGAGTATACACTAGTTATTTGTGCCATTTTTGTCAAGAGGACAATATGGTTCTGCTGTTTACAAGCTTATAATCAAATCGAAGTCACTAGATCAGAACTAAAAACTGAGATATGTTCAGCATATAGTTACTACAAAATTATACAATATTAAACACAATAGGAAATAAAGGGAGCCAACAAAATTGGCAAAAATAACTACAGTATACTCTTGGCATACAGAAGGGTTAATATTCCAAGAGATTATGAGAATGGCAACATAAAATGACTTTTCCAACATATAATAAATCTGATACATGCCAAGTGTTAATTCAGAATACAAAATGGTCAGGAGTAAAGACCCGTATTCATACTCTTGTTACTGGAGAATAAAGCATTAATTAGTTAGCTAAAGAAAAGAAGTGCCTGCATTCTTTAATCAAGGAAAAACAAGGACATTTTACTTAACGCACAATTTCTAAATAAATATATATCCTACTATATACATATATAGACTTACTGCTCAAAAAAATACATGTTCATACCCATTAGGATGGATTTTATTAAAAAAAAAAAAAAAACCCAGAAAATTTTAAGTGCTGACAAGGATGTGGAAAAATTAGAACCCTTCCGCATTGCTGGTGGAAATGTAAAAGGATGCAGCCCCTGTGGAAAATGTATGATTCCTCAAAGAATTAAACACGTATGATCCAATAATTCCACTTCTGGGTATGTACCAAACAGAAGTAAAAGCAGAGACTCAAAAAGATATTTGTACACCCATGATCATAACAGAATTATTCAGAATAGACAAAAAGTAGAAGCAACCCAAGTGTCCATTAACAAATGAATGGATAAACAAAATTCAGTTTTAAAAAGGAAGGAAATTCTGACACATGCTACAACATGGATAAACCTTAAAGACTTTATGCTAAGTGAAATAACCCACTCATAGACAGTCACAAAAGGACTAATATTGTATGACTTGACTTATAAGAGCTACCTAGTCAAATCCAAAGAGATGAAAAGTAGAATGGTGGTTGCAAGGAGGTGTGGGTAGGGTAAAGAGGAATTTAGGTATTTAAGGGTACAGAGCTTCAACTGGGGAAGGTAAAAAAGTTCCAGAGACAGATGGTGGTCATAGAAGACCCAAAGAGATGAAAAGTAGAATGGTGGTTGCAAGGAGGTGTGGGTAGGGTAAAGAGGAATTTAGGTATTTAAGCGTACAGAGCTTCAACTGGGGAAGGTAAAAAAGTTCCAGAGACAGATGGTGGTCATAGAAGACTGCAAAACAATGTAAATGTACTTACTGCCACTGCAAAACAATGTAAATGTACTTACTGCCACAGAACTATACACTTACAAATGGTTAAAATGGTAAATTTTATGTTGTAAATACTTTACTACAATTATGATACATGTAGTTTTCTATCTTTATGTGAACATCAAAAAAGGGAATAATAAAAATAACTGAAGTTTCTTTTTATTTTTTTTGGTGGATAGCCCATTTGAGGAGCCAAACCCTTGACCTTGGTATTACAAGGTCTCACTCTAACCGAGCTAACCAGCCACCCCAGCTAAAGTTTTTATCTAAAGAATCAAGTGCTCATTTGATTATAATACTTTCCAAAGTCATGCATCATATATCAAATTCTGTTCAAGAATTTTCTATACAGAAGTTTAGTTTTTCTAAGTCTAAACTGAGTTAAAGTAAATATATTTAGTTTTTAAGCAAAAATACTGTTTATAAGACCTACTCGCAGCACATCTGAGTGTTCTTCCTGTTGCTACCAATTCCTAATAGTGCTAACAGCTTAAAGGTGTTCATTCATATGAAGAAGAGAAACCAATAAGTATGGGCAAGTTGCCAGCTAGAAAGAGAATCACTTAACACGCTTCTTTGATAACAACTGGTTTTATAAAACCATGCAGATGGGTCCACCAAATTTAGCCACAAAAATTTCCATAAGCTAAATAAACCAATTATTCAACTATTTTTAGTCATAATCAAGCTACAGAGACGATAAACTTAAAAATATCAATACCGCTAAAGCCAAGAAACCTAAACCCACTTGAGTATACCACATATTGAATACCTTGAAGAGTAACAAACATATTAAAGAACTAATTCAAAGTACACAAAACATCGTTATACTTAGGGGAAAAAAAGTCAGGACAAAAAGATGACATGATGAAGGAAAACAAAATTCCAAGTACAAACATAATTGAAATTTGCCAAGAAATTATAAAAGCAGTACATACAGAAGGTGAAGTAAAAAAATAGAATATGGTAAAAAAAAAACAATGAAAACTAGAAAAAACAAGTGACCAAAAATAACATGAAGCTGAGGTTACCCAATAAACTAGGCCCACAATCTCATTTACTTTGGAATAAAAAAAAAAAAACAAGCTCAGTGATTCTGGTAATATTTCTCTACGAAGTTTTAGACTTTGCTTATTTTCTACGTAATTAAAATTTTTACTTATTTTTAAATTAAAATACATTATTTACTATATATATTCCACAACCACGCTTTCCTTTGAGAAAAAAAACTATTCTATGGCGTTGAGCCATCTATTAAAATGTAAAAACAATTAAAATATACCAATGTTAGCTAGTTATGCAATCAAATTTTCTCTCATTTTTTATTCATAAATTCTTTTCTCAAATACTATTTTACTACATTGAAATAATCAACATTTATAGGCTGGCCAGTTAGCTCACTTGGTAGAGTATGGTTCTGATAATACCAAGGTCAAGGATTCAGATCCCCATACTGGCTAGTCACAAAAAAAAAAAAAAAAAAAAAAAAAAAAACCCAACAAAATTTACAAACAAAAATTTTAAATTTAGCTTTACAGCTTTCATTTTATTTCCCCCCAAATCCAGCTCAGAAAGATTAAGTTTTAATTTTTAAAGTGAGGAAAACTGTACCTTAGCAGTGAAGACAGCCTGTCTTGCCTCAGGTATCATATAAAGTTGCTGAATAGTGGAAGCCAAGTAACAAGTAGCTCCAAGGTTAGTCAGGCCAACAAATCTACACTCAGCACGAACATCCTCGTGAGGCCAGTAGTCCCATTTATAAGGTGCGTGAGCTGCTGAAGAAAGAGGGAGGAAAAGATGCCCCCCAAAACAAACTATTAAACATATTATATTTTGCTTTCATTAACAACCACAATTTCCATTAGTTATCTAGTTACAGAACATTACGTACAGTGATTTTTAGAACTAGGTAAGAATACATATTAAAACTAACTCACTCTGAAAATTCTAAAGACTGTCAAAATTTGATTTTACTTGGCACTAAATTATTTTACCTAAAAATGCCAAAGTATTTAAAATACCTATAAAAAGTCCTTCACTGCTTTTATTCTTTTTTTAAAAAATTGATGTTTAACTTTCCAAATTTAATACCATCCCAGGAACAATAGTTTATAATGTTAAAGTACAAGGAGAGTGGATTCTTTCTTTAAATAATGCTCTCCAAAATCTCATTTCTAATACATAATTTATAAAGGTTAGAGGAAAAGAAGAATGCTTACACTGCATGTGTTGTGCCATAACCCAGTTGTGTATTAGCCTGTAGTTCTCAACAGACCCCTTGACCATCTCTACTAACAAATCATAAGCAGCAGCTCTTGAAGAGTGTGATTTGCACTTTGGCTGTTGTCGATCTTTTAGACTTGGCAACAAAAACAGGAGATTGAATATATCTCTTAAAAATTCCTTAAAAAAAATAAAAAGGTAAAGTCAAGTATGTTATCTAAACTTGGATATTAATTATATTCCAACAATATCAAATAACAAATAAATTTCTGTTGTTTATAAGCTACCCAGTTTATGGCATTTTATTATAGCAGCCTGAACAGACTAAGACAGTAATGCTTTTGTTTTATTTTACATGTAAAATAATTTCCTGTGCCCACCCACAATACATGGACACCTAGCTTCCCAAAGTTACCATCCTCAAACTCAGGCCAAACTAAACCAACCACTCAATTTCTTGTATGAACCCAGTGATTTCCTATGACTTAATTTTTACTCATATTTTTTCCTATGACTAAAATGTTTCCCTTACTTTTCTACCTAAGAAAACCTACCCACCATTACAAAAGCTGTATTTCCTTCGAAGCCTTTCCTAATCGTTTCAATGCATCATGGGAAATCAAACTACACAGGAACCTTCTCTTTCTCTACACTACCTAAAATTTTCTTTCCTTACAATGATTTTTACTTTATAATCATGTTATCAGAAAAATCAATTAATATGTTATATTTTGGGATGAAGTTCTATATTGTTTTATATATAACATAACACTTCAACCAGTAAGTTTGTAAATCACCCAAATTATTCCCAGTGAATGTAATAAAAGGAAAAAAAACAACAACAAAAAACCTCAAATAGCCCAAGAAGGGCTTTATGAATTAGGGGAAGTAGCACAGATTTAAAACAGATAAGAGTGTCACCTTCAGCTTATCTAAAGAATCTTTTAGTCTATACCCATGGAGACAATCTTTCATCCTTTTGGTTATTGTTTCCTAACACTGTCAGTAACCTCAAGATAATTCTTCAAACTATAACTCCCTTGAGGTAGGCAATCACACAAGTCCCAAAGGCATGGTGAACAACTTAATCTAAAAAGTAATTAGACATTTGTTGGTATAGAGTCATTGGGTGTTTTAAATATTCAATAATAGGTTTTATCACAAGCAGGTCTTTAAAATATAAAACCAGTAAGACATGTACTCTTTTTAAACAAAACAAAACAAAACAAAATGGGTTTTTATTTATTTTGGCGGCTGGCCAGGACTGAGGATCTGACCTTGGTGTTACAATACTGTGCTCTAGCCAACTGAGCTAATCAGCCAGCTAGCCCCTAGATAAGTATTCCATGACTACTTATTAATTACAGTGTGTAAGTTAGGATATTAATTCACAATTTAAGATATTAATTCAAAATATTCAATTCTATACAAACCTCATTAAAGCAGAGGTTTCCTTTCTATATATAGTCATAGGAATTAAAACTTCTTTTTGCATTCTAAAAACAAGCCCAAATTTTATATTTCCAGGGTTTATTCAAAGTTCACTTTTTCTGCCAGTAATTAAGTTCTAACAAATTTTATGTCTGTATGTTTAAAAAGTTTAACATATCCACATACAATGCAATAACAAAAAGTTTCGGTCATATTTCATACACACATTTGGATACCATAATATCTTACCTGTCCTTCCCTTGAAAATTTAAAGGGTGGTTTGTGTTTAATAACACTTGTTGCAAGCCTTAGGAGTCCTGTAAGCCCATCATCTTCTATATTACCATCTTGATGATCAAGGATTTCCCTACTACAAAAAAAAAGAACACAAGCAAAAAAGACAGTTCACATAATCACATCCTTTGTATTTACTTCACAATATAAATGTCTATTTCACATCAAATTTTACCTTCGAATACAGTCAGCCAAATGTCTTGCCAAAGCATCTAAGTCGAGGAGCGTTGTCTTAATACAAAAAGAAAATTCAAATATAGATTTTTATATTTAATAGTACACAGATTAAAACAAAACAAAAAAACCATTTCCTTTTAGATAACAAGAATTTGGTTCCCCCAAATTTGCTAAATAAATTATAAACTTAATACACCTTACTCTTAACTTATTATACATGATGTCAATCAATAAAATTATAGTTTTAAATGCATCACTGATAGTCCCACAAAAAAGAATCAATGGCATGTTGGTAATAAATTATGACAGTCACAGTAATCTACTAAGAGGACACTAAGGTTGGTTATGGTATTTTTTCGTTAACAACTTTATTGAGATGTAATTCACATACAACTCACCCACTAAGGTTTTTTTTGTTTTTGTTTTTGACACCACCTTTAAAGTAGGCTTTAACAATAAACTAAACTCTACAGTTAATCTCAGAAAGCTTTAATTCTCATAACTGAGCAACAATATTAAAAAACAGATTTCACAGGGCCGAGCCCATGGCGCACTCCGGAGAGTGCGGCGCTGGGAGCACAGTAGCGCTCCCGCTGCGGGTTCGGATCCTATATTGGGATGGTCGGTGCGCTTTGCGCGCAGTGCGGCTGGTCTCAAAAAGGACAACAAAAAGAAAGGACAAAAAGGGGCCGAGCCCATGGCGCACTTGGGAGAATGCGGCGCTGGGAGCGACGCGACGCTGCCGCCGCTGCGGGTTTGGATCCTATATAGGAATGATAGGAATGGCCGGTGCGCTCACTGGCTGAGCACTGTGTGGGCGACACCACACCAAGGGTTGCGATCCCCTTACCAGTCACGAAAAAGACAAAAAAAAAAAAAAAAAAAAAAAAAAAACAGACTTCACAAAACAGAACTTAAAAAGAATATTCCCAAAGAAACTCAGATCTCCAAGAGAAAAATTACTTTAAGAGTAGACTACTATTTTAGATAAAATGAGCAAACCTGGTCTAAAAAAAACACAAAAACCAATGTTTATCTGGTATCACTATCCTGATGAATAATAGACAAATTAAAACTTGCTCAATATTAATTTTTATAATATTTCTCAAACATAAAGTAGAACATTTTAAGAATTCAGATGCAAACTAAAAGTAGGAAGTACAAAAAACACAGGAATTTTTAACATAAAGTGTGTATATTGTACTTTCATTTAAATACACTAAAAAATTAAAAGAAAATGTTTCCTAAATATTTAAATGGACCTTCTTCATGTGTTTCTCATTTCTTCTGAATTAACTTAGATGCATTCAAGCTTACTAAATTTACAGAAAGAGGAAAAAACAAAAGTCTTCATGTGACAAGTTTGTCTTCAAAATTTATTTGTTTTAAACATTTCTTTGTTTGGATGAAAATGTCACTTTAGTCCAGTATAAGAAAATTAGTAGATAGCGGAAAAAAAAAAAAAAAAAAGACAATGTGTCTTTATCTTAAAATAACCTCTATTTGAACTGCATTTTACATATTTAGGACTCCAATTCATATGCTACTATAGAGAGCTGTAAAATCTAAATTTCACTTTCTGAATAAGTTTTTCTTTTCTTTTTTTTTTTTGTGGCTGACTGGTATGAGGATCCAAACCCTTGACCTTGATGTTACAAGGCTGCACTCTAACCAGCTGAGCTAACTGACCACCTCTCCAAATAAGATTTTACATCCACAAATCTTACTCAGAAGAGACAAACTACTTAGAGGTACCAGATAAAGATGTTTCAACTAAGGTCAAAGCAAAAACAAGAAAGGAATTAGGACAGAACAGAAAGGCAAAAATATATAATATAAAAATTATGATAGTACAACCTAGTTATAGATTAATAAGTGTCTTTAATAATAAGGACCAATATAGTCATGAACATATATGTGCATAATTCATATCCATTAACAAGTTAATATACAATTTTCTGAACATACCTGACTAGCGTCCTTTATGTGTATGTTGTCAACTAATTTGCATAACAACCAAAAATACTCTTTACATCCAGGTTTTAACATTGGTTCTTCCTCATAATCATCTATCTATTAAAAAAATTTACTTTGTGAAAACAATTTAAAAATAATTTAAAATTATAATACATTTAAGAATCTATAGGCTTATGAAAAAAATTAAATCACTATTCAAACTAAACAGTATTCAAAATTAACACAAAATGGAGTACACTCCTAGTTTCTGTAAAATCAGAATAACTACGTACATAAATGACTAACATGAGAATCCTTAGAAAAACATTAGTCTGAAATTAATTATACTTGGAGAAGATGAACAAAGAAAATAATGTAAATCCTAATTAGTAAAAATGTATTAGTGGGCTCTAGATTTATTATGTTGTAGAAGCCTCTTGCAAGCTAATATATATACACTGGGGCAGGAAAGAAAATTAAAATTCAGAATATCATAAGGATTAAAAAAACCCACATGACTGAGTGCACAGGGAAGCTACATTTATGAAATTTCTATTGTTCAACTTATTAACACAAGGTCCAGAACCTAGTAAGAACAAATGTTATTTCCAAAACAGGATACCCATGAAACATCCCACATAAATGTAATCAAAACACACAGATTGTCTTCCTAGTTGCAACATGGACACAACCTGTCATAATGCTGTCACTTTAATAACAATATAACTACTAAATTCTTGGTAAAAATTACATACAGTAACCAAGTGCTCAAAATTACTGCAAGGATATAGTATTATGATAAACTTGGAGCAAAAGAAATTACAGAAATAGAAACCACAACTAAACACAGTAAAATCTTACCCTGATAGGTTTGAGTGCTTGAGCATCAGGAAGAAATTTCAATAACGTTGAGGCAGCCAATAGCAGAAAAGAACGATTGATTGAGTCTCCTCCATCTAGCCCTGACAGAGATAACTTATACAGACCATTGCAAGATTCATGACGAACTGCAGTCTAAATGAAAAAGCAAGTTCCAAAGGCAGTCTGAGTTAGTATTAAAAAGCTAATGTTAGTTAATATGTTAGCAGAAATAACGTTAGGAGACTCCTTTAGTATATATTTAAATATAATGTTCTGATCACATACACATGCACGTAAATAATAAATGATCAAATAAAGTACCCCAAAGTATACAGTGATATATAAATACAGTATTTTAGAGATTCCTAAGTATGGCCATAAAAACCAGAAACAAAACCAAATAAGCACAACAACAACAGACAAACACAAAAAAGGACTGAGGGTAGAATATTCATAATTGTTTAAGTTATTCACAAGATAAAGATAAAATATTTTCAGAACTAGAAGCAGCTTAGAAAGCACTTAAATAAGAACATTTTATAGATTCTAACAGACTTGCCCAAATGTCACAATGGTTACCTGGGACAGAGCCAGAACAAGACCACATAATATTCAATCCAGAGCTAACAGTATTAGACAATGCTGACTAAAAAACGGTGTGACTTTGTGGCTAAGTGTGTTTCTATTAATTCACTTAGTAATACGATATAAGCAATATTAAGATATGGTTAGCGAAAATTCTATTGGACCCAGTGTCAACATGGAAAGCAAAATACACTTGGTTGATTTATTAGTAGTCTCTCTTGCCTTTATTTCTATATAAAAAGCAACATTAATTTTTTTAAAACATGATTTCCCAAAATAAATTCTCAAATCTTTCCTACCCCCTGGGAAAAAAATTTTTTTTTAAAAATCCAAAGCAAAATAATCACTCTCTAAACAAACATTTCAGAAAAGGACAAATATAAATGCTATAGAATATGTAACATTCATACTTCTTAACTGTATATAGTTCAAAACATTCTAGACCTTAAAGGATTAAACAGATAATGTAATATATTTATTGAATCACGCACATTTGTTTCCATTAGCTTTTTTATTATCAATGCTAATGATATGAAAATGCAGAAAGAGTAATAATACTAATCTTTAATCTTTATCTTACCTCAGGAATAAGGAGAGTCAATTTCTTTAGCCAATCTTGTAAATGATCACTATCAGCAAGGCTAGATTTCACTAAAGAACAGCAATGAGCCCAACTCACCAAGAGCCACATTGAATAATGTGAAACTAAAGAAAAATTAGAAAAAAGTATGACTATAAAGGCTTACGCTAAAAAAATGTAATGCTCATTATTACAGATAAAATACATCAATATGACAATTATTCAAATCTTTATTTATTAAAAGTTAACTTTGTGGAACCCTTACCTTCATGTCTAGACCTGTGATCTGACTGAGCTTTTAAAACTCTGTAAAAGAAAAACATACCACCACCACTAGTTAAATTCAGCAATGAATTGAAAATAACATTTGACTACCATATATCCTTTAAAGTTTATAACTTCCTCCCAAAAAAGATTAAATTTTAAGAGAGTTACGTATTTATTTGTTCTATGGTCTTTACCATTTATTTAAAGAATCACTGGTAAGTAGAACTCATAGAAGTAGAGAGTAGCATGGTGGTTGTCAGAGCCTGGGGCAGGGGACCTGGGCAGAGGGCATAGAAAGTTGTTGGTCAAAGGGTACAAAGTTTCACCCAGGCAGGAGAAATAAATTTTGAGATCTATTGCATATCAGGGTGACTACAGTCAATGAAAATATATATTTCAAAATAAAAACAAAATAAGAATCACTGGTAAAATGTTATTACAGCAAACATCAAGTAACTTCAGATTTAATAAACAAAACTTGAGTGAATACAACGTTGAGTGAAATGAGTGAACCCTCAAAAAGGGCTCATTATCTAGTTGCCAAGGAGATGTACACTGCAAGGATATAGTTATAATGGTTTAGAGTCTAAACTTTAGACTCCTTAAAAAAAATCATACACTGCCACAAAAATGCCCTGTCTTCGGGGCCGGCCCGGTGGCGCACTGCTACAGTGCGCCGCTTGGGAAGCGTGGCGGCGCTCCCGCCGAGGTTTCGGATCCCACATACAGACTGGCCGC